ACATTGAGGCACCATTTTTTTTTTTAATTGCAAATGTTAATTCAAGTAAAGTTTGGTCTAAAATGTAACTTCATCGTAGGAAGGTGGTCCCTGTATTATCAATACAACTGCTCCGATAACAATCAGGTAAAACAAGAACTGTTCACACGACAGGGAGTGTGCAGGGCCCCCTGAATGTGCACGGAAGATACAGACTAGTCCACATCGGCAATATTAGAGTCGAGACACTGATTTCTCAGACACTGTGCTGTGCAGGAAACAGCCCCTTTGTCTGGAGATAGTTAAGAAAATTAAGGAGTCCGTTCAAATGTCATTCAGAAGACAGATGAGAAGAAAATCGAATAAATAGACATTTAAATGACAACGTATTTGAAAACATTTATTGAAATGAGAAAGGGAGTAGGAACATGTCAACCATAAAATTGATAATTAGGTTGTTTAAAATGTTGTCTCTGAATCTCTAACAATATGTAGGACAGGGAGGCAGGAAACCTTTTGACCAAGGTGTACAGTGTACCAGGCAAACTTGGCTAGCGCCTACCATGGCAAAACATATCACAGGCTATCGCAGCCAATATCTATGAAAAAACAAAACAAAACAATTTCCTTTGGACCAGTTCTATAGTCAACCAACCTTCTGGTCTTAATTTGGTTTCCTTGTAAAATTAATCTGCCGGGGAGAGAATGTATTGATAGGCTGATAGGAATGTCTGGTCTGCTTGGCAGCCATAATTGTAAAGTAAATTAATAAATTGGCTTTCAGGCGTACATTAGTCTCCTGAAAGTTTCATTAAGTTGTCTCAATTATCCAGTGTTCTTATTGCCTCCACTGAGTGTACTCTCAGTGCCTCAAACCATAAACCGAAAGGTTGGACGTTGGACCTTGGTAACCTCAGTAGGAGACACAGCCTGGGAGGCCCCACCTGAGAGCTTGTTAATTTCCCATCATGATCATTATAATTACCAGCCCACGGAGAGCCACTGCATCCCAGAGCTCCTAGTTACCAGTTAATCTGTGCATTCCTTCCTAACTCAGCAAGGTCATCGGTGTCTCCTACAAAGTTCTAATAAATCCAGAGATCATGTTCTCCCGTGACCTCCTCCACTGTGTGATGTTGTGCATGGTACAGCGTTCACCCTAAGTATGGGAGGGGAGAAAGAAGGAAGGGAAGGGAGGAAAGAGGAATGAAAGAGAGAGAAACATCGACGCGAGAGAAACACATTGAGTGGTCGCCACCCACATGACCCCAACTGGGGCCGGGAACAAACTGCAACCGAGGCACGCGCCCTCAGCAGAAACCAAACCCGGGACTCTCCAGTCCGCGGGCCGACGCTCCAACCGCTGAGCCAAACTGGCCAGGGCTGAATTTTCTTAAACACATCTTTAGTCATGTGAGTACATATGTCATTGTTGTGACGGGTGTGTACCATCTGCATTTTGAGAATTGTCAAGTTGCTTTTTAAATAGACTATCACTGGTCCGTGAGCTGGTCCACTTGGGCCCATATTGCACAGTTTTTCTTCTGTGTATTTGCTCATTTCTCCAAAATAAACAGGCAGTTCGTAGGTAACAGGTCAAACTGTTTCAGTGCAGAACGTAGTATGTGGGGTTGAGGGGATCTGCGCCAGGCGTCTGCTCCAAACCCTCCGTCCACGCCCTCCTTGCTGCAGGGACTGGAGAGCTAAAAGCGAATTTTCCTGATTCTTCTGCAGAAAAGCTCACGTAAGATTCGACAGCCGAAGGTCGGGCAGGGGCCATCTGCCTGTGGCTCCCGCCATTGAGTGGCATGCTGAGCGAGCCACACAGGTCGAACGTTCCAGGGTTGTCACCAGGTACCCACAGAGGTTTCTGTAAGGCTCTTCTCGCCGGGAGTCATTTCTGGGGACTCCAACCTGAGCTCCCTCCTGCAAACCCACCCTGGACTTTGTAGCGAACGAAGTAGCTTCCCTATTCCCAGTATTAATCCCCATTTCCTCCTAAAAATAACCACGGTGGTCTGTTTCCTGTAAGTTGTCAGTGATACAAAAATGATAAACTGCTTCTCATCAGCTTGAAAGATACTTTGTGGCACACGAACCTCTTTCAGAACGTGGGGAGGGCGCTGACTAGCACACAGAAGCACGTGTGAACACGCGGGGAAAAGGATCACTAAACACACTAAAACGTTAATGTGGTCTTCCCTGGGGCAGAACTATGGGTCATTCACACGATATTGTTGCTTTTCCTTTAACTTTTTTTTTTTTTTTTTAATCCTCACCCGAGGATATTTTTCCATTTTTTGTACAGATAGAGTGGGAGGGAGAGAGGGGAAGGGGGAGAGAGAGAGAAACATCGACGTGAAAGGGACATATCGAGTGGCTGCCACCCGCACGACCAACCAGGGCCGGGGACAAACTGCAACCAAAGTACGTGCCCTTAGCGGGAACCGAACCCGGGTCTCTCCGGATCGCAGGCCGACGCTCTAACCGCTGAGCCAAACTGGCCAGGGCAACTTTTTTTTTTTTTTTTTTAAAGGGAAAACCTTAAGAGCCATTTTTTCCTTAAACAAAAGAAACAAAATCCTCCCAGGTGGGGGGGCGGTGCGGGGGGGGGGGGGTGGATGTTACGACTAAGAGGATTAACTAAAGGTGTCAGTCCCCGCATGTTACACCCAAATGCGCACAGAAGGATGTATCATGGTCTAAATTGGGGAGCACGTCCTCAGAGTCCACGATCTCAGAACAAATATTTGTCTCTTCTGGGGGCTCGGTCGGGCTGAGGTTCCCTGGAAAGGGGCCGCTGTCTTGGGAACTAAACACAGGGAGTGAGACTCCCCGGCGCTGCTGCTGTTGGGGGGCTCTGTTTATGATAACGGGGTAGACCCCTGGGAATTGGCTATTTTTTAAGGCATAAAACAGAATGGAACGGCCTTCACCCTCCCAACCAGTGAATGGAGATTTTAGGAAAGAAAGGGTAAAAAGTGAAAAGAGCGAAGGGGATTTTCTTTTAAATAAGCGGCCCCCTCTTTCTTGAACTGTCCCCTCACTAACACTTACACATGTATTTCTGGATCACTCTTGATTCTCCCATTTTCTCTGCCCACTGCTGTCACGACTCAGGAGCAAGACAAGGATGATTCATGCGCTTTGTTGGCTGGCATGAATTACACACGATGATTTGCAATCCTTAAAGCAGCAGCAGGTAAGATAAACCAGTCTCAAGCTATGGAAATCCCCTTCAAGGAATTTCATTAGAATTAGATAGGGAAAAAATTCTTATGTCTATTAAAACTACCCACAGCAGTTTTATAAAGCTATTTTAAAACATTGTGAATTCTAATTCCTCTCATTAAAAGTGTCTTTCATCTCTTATCCTTTGAGACGACATGGAGGGACCTGGAAAGTATTATCCTAAGTGAAAGAAGCCAAGCAGAAAAAGACAAATACCACATGATCTCACTTATATATGGAATATAATGAACATAACAGTCTGAGGAGTACGTTAGACCCAGAAACATGGAAGTAGGGCACAGACTGACATCCCTCAGGAGAGGGGGTAGGGGGTGGGAAGAGATAAACCACAGAACGTATATGCATGTATACATAACCGATAGACATGGACAACAAAGCCGGGGACGGTGCGGGGGTGGGATGGGTAGGGGGGTGCCAATGGGGTAAAAAAGGAGAAACATCTGTAACAAAAAAATACATTTTTTTAAAAAAGTGTCTTTCAATGACAGCTTTTCATTTTTTTTTTTATCCTCACCCAAGGACAATTTTTTTTTGCATTTATCTTCAGAAAGAGCGGTAGGGAGAGAGGGAGGAAGAGAGAGGAACATCGATGTGAGAGAGATACATCTACTGGTTGCCACCCACACGACCACAACCAGGGCCAGGGACAAACTGCAACCGAGGTACGTGCCCTTAGCCGGAACCGAACCCGGGTCTCTCTGGTCCGTGGGCCGACGCTCTAACCACTGAGCCAGACTGGCCAGGGAGACAAGCTTTTCATTGTGATGAGCTAATTTTACATCGTTTATGGTTATTGCTTTCTGTGACCTAAGAAACCTTTGGCTACTCTCAACCCACCAAGACGGTGACCCGTTTTCCTGTAAAAACCTTTATATTTCAGCTGCTACATTTAGCCTGTGATCCGTCTCAAACACGTTTCTGTGAGGTAGGGTTGCGGTTCATTTGTTCCCAGATGGATGCTTAGCTGTTGGGAGACTTTCCTTCTCTTCGCTGCCTTTGTCCAAAATCAGGGGCCATGCCAATGGGCTGGTTTTCAGCTCTCCTGGCCTACTGCCTTCCTCGCTCGTCCGCAGGCCAGCGCCGCACGGCCTGATCACGCGACACTCCTGTGTTGCTCCGACGAATGGAAGCCTCTACACAAGAGGGCAGGTGAGTGAGTTGAAGTAAATGAATGGGCTCGAGACTAACCTGCAAGAATTCTTACAACCCGCTTTTAAAAATCGTGTCACGGCTCTGAAAATACCCCATAATTACTACCATATCCAGAGCAAAACATATGTACCCACAAACAAATGAAACGCCACAAATTCTTCTCTGTGACCTCCAACTGCAATTATGTGTGAAAAGGATTTCATTGTTTTTCCTACTCAGTCTCCCACCAGGTTTCGTCACATTGTTCAACAAGCCCTAAGAAAGTCACGTGTCTGGAGCTGGAAGAGTGGGTACCTGCTCTCCCTACACGTTTAACCTTTTCATAGTACGTGGAAAAGTCATGTGTCGGTTTCAGAAGTGTGCCTCAAACAGTAGATCATACAAGTTTTACAAAATTTCCTTTTAAGTTTAACTTGGAAAAGAAGATTAAGAGCAAGAATATAGTATTATTTTTATAAAATAAAAAACTAAGCAACTCTGAAGAGCAAAAGAGTAAAAAAACCTCCACTGTGGACAAATTATACGTGACGCCTGAAAACTACTAGACGGGACTGATTTTGTTCAAATTGGCACAAGGATCCTCCACCACCACCATCACCCTTAAAAAAAAAAGGCAGATAATCGTTAATTTGTCAAACCTCCAATCTTTTATAAAATTACAGCTTAAAATCTTGAAAAAGTGTTGCCACGCTGAATGTAACACCAGAAATCTTTAAGATTTACAGTTTGTTCTTAACTTGAAATTTTGCTTTGAAATAGTCACCTCCCTGAAACACTTTTACAATACATAAATAACCCCACACACTTAAAGAAAGTTTGCGAAAATAAAATTAGGATGTTTATTACTTTTTTCTACTGGCAGCAATGAAAATCACTAGAAACTGTACTTTTGTCCTTTTCAAATAATCTGCATTAAAATCATACTTTCCCGAATAACTGATATAGAAGATAAAATTCAGGTTTAAAATCTTCAAAATACTTAGATATCAAAGACAGAAATACTGATTTTTCTTCCATTAATGAGACTAAGTGATCCAATTTAATCAAGATCTGACATTTATAAATTTTAAGCATTTAACTGAGCTAAAAGACCAAGGGATTAATTATGACGGTGACAGGTGGAGAATATCATCTGTGCACTCTCTGGGTTTGTTACATCACTCTATGTGCAGGGGATCACAGTTCTCAGATCCAAGGTCAAGGAATGGGATTTGGGCGAGACCTTCACGCCACTGCTACGCCAGAGGCACGACATGCAGACGGTGCAGGCAGGGAGTCTAGGGATCCATGCATCAGACAGGACAGGCTGGGGCTACGGCCAAGCGTGCACTGAGTCAGTCGGGTGCTGCTCAGTGTTCTTCATACTCAATGGTTTCCATGGAAACAGATGCAGAGGCAGACGTGTGTGCACCTGCCGGAGCACCTTCTTCATTTGGTTTCTTGTGCTTTCTTTGCATTCTGCTTTTCTTTCGCCTAGAAATTAAAGGACAGTATATTACAAAAATCTTAAAAGTCTGCTTTAGCGCACAGAAATAAAATGTGTCTCAGAGGGCGTTCTTCAGCTAAGGGCTGTGCTGCACTGTCTCTGGGAACGCCAGACATCCGCTCTGTACCCCGAGACGTGCAGCGGCTCGGGCCGGTGAGATGGTTACAGCCTGCCCTCTAGAATCACGATCATGCTTGGTTTGTACTTCTCTCTTATCAGAATTTGAAATGTACAATTGTAATAACTTAAAAATACATAATTACTCATTCCATAAAGTCATACTAATTCATAAGTATTTCAAAACAATTTATATGTGCTCTGGCCAGTGTGGCTCAGTGGTCGAGCATGGGCCCAAGCACCGAAGGGTCACGGGTTTGACTCCCAGTCAAGGGCAAGTACCTGGACTGCAGATTTGATCCCTGGCCCCGGTCGGAGCACATTCAGGAGGCAGCCAACTGATGTGTCTCTGTCACATCAATGTCTCTCTCCTCCCCACCCCCACCTCCCTTCCACTCTCTCTAAAATTCAATTGAAAAAATATCCTTGGGTGAGGATTAACAACAACAAATATATATCACAAATATATATATATATTATTCAGAACAGAGCTGTAATTATTTATTTTTCCCCAACTGTATCATGAGTTGTGTAAGAGAAATGTCTTATCCATGTGTACAGCTGTAGGCTTAGACAGAGTGTCTGACCTGTAGCTGCAGTTAGATAAATGAGTAATTAAAACATTTCAAAAATTTTAATCAAATAATGATCTGAATTCTCTTCAGAATCTAGGGATAACATTGCATACAGGCAAGAAATAAATGTATCTCAATATTGTCTAGACAATATTAATAATCAAAGAACAGTTTGGAGAAACAGAAAGGGCGACAAGGTCAATAACCTCTTCAACAGAACCAATGCGACCTCAAGGACAGACTGCATTGTGGCCCCTAACGCCAGGCATTCACATACTGCCACCTTGTGTCCACAACAGGAACTACGGAATTACGGTTCTAATGCAAAAGCTGAAAAGCTGTCATTCTCTAACTAAAAAAAGTCTGGAATTATGCCATCATTAACAGCAAACAAGAAATGTCCTTTCTCTACTTTGTACAAAAATATTCACAGAACAATTTTAAAGTAAAATGCATACATTTAAAATGTCTCTAACAACATTTTTCTGCTCCTTAATATTTATTTATACATAAATCTGATATAACATAACCTATGATTTAGTACAAGTCCACATTATTTTATTTATTATTTTTAATAGAGAACTACTTCATAGTGTTCCATACAAAGAACACAACAGCTAGGTACTCTGTTAACAGCAATTTTGAGAATCACAGGACCCTAATAATTGTTAATTTAAAGCTTTTAAAAATCAGTTTCCTATCTTGGACTTTCGTAACTTTGATACCAAGATACACGAATAGAAAAATGTGTATATAAATATGTTTTAGCAGTCTTCTGCAATAATTTTTGCATTTCATGATAAGTGGAAGCACATGTTGGGGATCTGGGCAATGAGGTAAACAAAACCTTAACTTTCTCTCATATTATTTAGAATTTATAACATAAAACAGCTGGGTTGAAATGTATCTTTGCTTCATAAACATTAAAATTTAGTTAAAAAAAATATATATATAACTATAGCCCTGGCCGGTTTGGCTCAGCAGTTGGAGCACTGGCCTGCGGACCAGAGAGACCTGGGTTTGGTTCCCGCTAAGGGCATGTACCAAAAAAACACAAAACAAAAAAACTACCACGTATATTCTGGTCTTGAAGTTAACGGTCTAGTATTTTATTTGCCTAGTGGTTATCTTCTCAGAGTGCTTCTCAAAGTGTGGTGCACAGACCAGCGGCCTTAGAATCGCTTGGGGGGGAGGCTTATTAAAGATTCCTTCCCCTCCCCTTCGTGGGAATATGCGGGGAGGGGCCAAGTAGCATGTGTTCTAGGGTATCCAGCGATGGTCACTTTCAGAAACATTGATTTACATATAAACTTAAAAACAATTTAAAATGTTTCACTTATTCAATAAGTATTTTATTTAAGTACCTTCCATTAAAGAAAAAAAATCTTCAAATGTTTCCCTACCGACGCTAGTTCCCCATCAGTGGGAAGGACACCAGCTTCGGGTAGGAAAACCTAGTTCTCAGTCTTGGAGCCGTTATTTTGTTCCTTTGTCAATCAATGTCCATTCTAGTTCTAAATTCTATGATAATTCACACTTTTGCTAAATTAAATAAGAAGAATCTGTTATCTCAATTATTAACATTAAAACTTGTTTCTCGGCTTAAAGAAAGGAGAATGTTTTAAATCTCTGTTTTCGCACAACTGAGACACTGAGGCTCGGGAAGGTGAACAGTGGGGTGTCCCTGGTCCCTGGTTTACAAATACCTGACTGAACTAATTCTCATCTGGAACATAAAACAGGAGGTAAAAGCAAACAAAATTCAAAATGCTTCAATAAATTTTTCCTCTACTGAAGCCCCTCAAGATTTTCTTTCTTTGGACACTCTAAATCTAATTTAATACAGTCAACAATATTGTAACAACCATATATGGTGCCAGGAGGGCCCCTGAATTATCAGAGGTGACCTACATGGACGTCCATCTGCTGTGCTATACGTAGTAATACAAAAGTGCTGAATGCAAATTTTAACCGAAAAATAAAATTAAAAATAAATCAATTCCACAGGGACCAAAAACATCTAAGTATTCACCAGTAAAATCCTTACCTTTTCTACTAGTGGTATTAACTGCTGGTGTTCTGCTAACGTCTTTAACAATTCCATAATGAAAGGCAGGTAATTATGCTTCCTTCTGATATTTTCAATCTGAAAATGAAACAAATATCAACCACGCTGGCTCTGCATCTGCACGGAGTTTCTGACATTAACTCTGCATACAGCTCAAAACAGAAATGGGGGGGAACCACCCTTCTCAAAAGAATATTAGAAATGATGAGAGTCTGTTCCCACTGAGAAGAAAAGCTAATACAATACAAGTGTGGGGAGCTTCTGGGTCTGGCTTCCTACTGTACCGGCAAACAGCGGAGCCTATCAGAAGTCTAGTCTGGGATTATTTAAGAAAACGTAACGCATGCGAGCAAACCTAAGAAGGCCCAGTGACCAAGTCTCTGTCCTTACTGACCACATCTATGCGACGATCAGGTCAGGCTAATGGGAGCAGCTTTACTTTGTGATAAAGATCAGTCTTTCTTTGAATAATGTTCGATCAAGCGGGCGGAGTGTGTGGGAAACTCGCACCTCGGTGGAATACTGCGCGTCCCGAGCGCCGCCCCAGCCCCGCGGGTCTAGCCTCTGCACGACCGGCTGGCCTCCGTCCTCCCCCAGGGAAAAGCAGGGCGGTCCCTGTGAACCCCCTTCCACACGCCCTGCTCCAAGTCTGGGCGTCTTCGATTTCTCACGTGAACAAGGGAAGCTCACAGAGTCCCGCAATTAATGAACGAATTAATGAAATCCAAACACACGTACATTTTATATCAGCATGAGAGTCATTTTCCTTTCTTTGAACAGAGCATTCTCAAACAATGTAGCAGGTAAAGACTCTGAAAACTGCTTTGTGTTTATGGTAGGCAAATATTATAAATTAGTTATAGCTATGTAATAACCCTGCATGCGAATATATTCAGTGATGGGGAGTTGTTTCTTTATATCTCAAAAAATTGAAGATAAACATTCCAACTTTCATCCGTGACACTCCTGTCTCTGTGAACAGGCCCCTTGTTCCTCCCGGGATTCGGGCCCCCGCCCCCCCATCTATTCTAACAGTCGTTGTGGGCTGTTGGGGTGAAGCACAGCTCCCCGCTGACACCGTGGTGAGAGTCAGACGAACAAGGACAATCCTCGCCTTCAACTGAGCTTCAGGGGAATGACCAGGCTTTTCTTACTGTGACACACATGACCCACGACACGAGGAGCATGTCCAACATCACACACAAGCCAGCTCCCTTACGCTCCCCTCTCCGGGAGAAAGCCCGTCGGACGGGCTGCAGGCCAAGGAGAGGCCGGCAGCCTTGCTGTGGGCGACTCCGAGTCGTGCCCCAGACACCACGACGTTTTTAAAGACCGAAAACATGGGAAAGCGAAGGAAAACAAATACACCCACTTGTGGGGGGCATGCAGGAGGCGGCCCATCGATGTTCTCTCTCATCGGTATTTCTCTCTCTCTCCCTCTCCCTTCCTCTCTCTCTCTAAAATCAATAGAGAAAAAAAAAATGTAAAGTAAAAAAGCTCACTAGTTACTTTTGTGGAATGCCAGGAAATCAACTCATTATTCTGAAAACTAGTAAATAATGGGAGAAAAAGATCAAGTACTCAAGATACCTTCACGTCAAAACATATCACTCTACATTAAAACATTAAAGGGAAAATTTAAAAAAATACCTTATATCTTTTTAGTTTCTGTACTTCTTCCTCAATGAGCATCTGGTTTCTGGCAACCTCCGACTGAATGGCACTTAGCACACTGCCCTGGTCTGTGTCCATGGGCTCCTCCTTGGGCAGAGAGAAGACCACACCCTAAGACCGAGACTTCCGTCCAGAATGTTTCCAAATGATAAGCGTAGCACAATTCTTTTCCAATTTTACCCTTACTACAGTAACAGATTACCAGGGAATACATGCAGCAGTAAAGGCTAGAAGCCTCGAGCACCTTCCATATTTCCATATCCCAGTAATGTGTACCTAAGGCCAGGCTATACTGGACTCGACTTTAATGCTGTATCCTCCCGTTCAGCTATACATTTGCTTAAATATACTCTTAAGAAAATGTGATCAAAAGAATGTAAAAAGGTCTTTTTGTCTAACTTACCAATTCTCTCGTCCTATCCTACTCACTACAGAAATAACCATAAAGACTAGTAAAGGTCAGAAGTGACTCTAAATGTACTTAGTCGGTTCTGAGACATGCAGTCTAACTTGCCTGATTATATGACAGTAAATAATTAATTGCTAACACTTATTTAGCACATACTACTTGTGCCAATCACTGTTTAAAGTGGTTTACACATATTATCGCAGTTAATCCTCACAACAACCTTACAAGGTTAATACTATTATCCTCTTCTTACATAAGAAACTGGGGCTCAAAGAAATACACTCAAATCCATGCACCCACTAGGTGGCACAGCCCGGAGCTGAACCAGGCAGCCTGCCTCCTGAGTACTCTCAGGACACCCGGTTAAGAAGGAAAGGAGGGAAGGGGGGAGGAGGGAGGGAGGGAGGGAGGGAGGGGGGAGGGGAGGAGGAAGGGAGGAACACTTTCCCTGAGAAAATAACTCTTAAAACTTTGTACTTAAAAACATGGCCACGGACCTCAGCGAGTTGTCTCTGTAACTCTGCTATCTTCTGTTCATATATCATTTTTCTGTCGGACACGATGGCCATCAAGTTAAATCGAATTTCACCTTCACTGTACCTAAAAAGTTAAAGATTATAATATAATAAACAGTGGTAACATAATTACAATTAAGACAATTTACTGTGATTACCCATGATCCTCGGGGAGATCCAAGTCAATGGTTCATGCATGAGAAGGTTCAACATAGACAAGATGCCAATTCTCCTCGAATTGATACAATTTCTATGAAAAATTTTAGTAGCTACAGACAAGATTATACCAAAATTCCCATGGGAAGGCAGACGATCTATAATGCTCAGACAATTCTGAAGGAAAGGGATAAAGATGAAAGCATCACTCTACCTAATGTCAAGACTTATAGCTCCATTTACAGAGACTGGTACTGTCAGAGAACAGATGAACTAATCAGAGGAACAGATAGTGAGCCCAGACCCACGCAAATACGCCCACTGGTTTTGCACAGGGGTGCAAGACCGATTCAGCGGAGCAAGGACAGCCTGTTCAACACAGGGTGCTACAGCAAGTGAACAGGCATAGGCCAAAGAAACCAGAACTTGACTTCACACCATATGTAAAAATTAACTCGAGCCCCAGCCGGTTTGGCTCAGCGGTTAGAGCGTCAACCTGTGGTCCAGAGAGACCCGGGTTCGGTTTCCGCTAAGGGCACGTACCTCGGTTGCGGTTTGTCCCCGGCCCTGGTTGGGTTGTGCGGGTGGCAACCACTCGATGTTTCTCTCTCTTTCTCTCTTCCTCTCTCTCCCTCCCACTCTATCTGAACAAAAAATGGAAAAATGTCCTCGGGTGAGGATAAAAATAAATTAACTCGAAACACATCGGACTTAAATGAAAAATGTTAAACCATAAATCTTTTTAAAAAATGTTTGGAATCTAGGACTGGGCAGAAAGTCTGAGATTTGACAGTACAAAAAAAACTCACAGTGGGGAAGCCAGGCTCCATGGGTATTAAGCGCTTTTGCTCCGAAAGACCACGCTGGGAGGATGAGGGGATACGCTACAGTCGGGGACAGAATATCTGCAGGCAACGTGTCTAATTCGGGCCAGCAGTATCTAGAGAATTTAACGAACTTGAAGGCTCAACCGTCAAAAACAAACAATCCAATTACAAATAGGCAAAAGGCATCGAGAGATTTTCAACATCACCAGTCATTAGGGAAATGCTGATTAAAATCACAATGAAATATCACCACCCACCTATCAGAATGGAAATTAAGAAAAACTGGCAAAACCAAATGCGAGCGAGGACGTGGAGGAATGGACCCCACACGCCCCTGATGGGAATGTAAAAGGTCCAGCACTCTAGAAAGGAGCTTGGTCATTTTTTTAAATGATGAATCATGCAGTCACCACACAACTCAGCCTTGGTGCTGCTCATGGGCATTTACCCCCGAGAAATGAAAACTTACATTCACACACAAGTCCGTATACATATGTCTATTATAGTTTGCTTTCTTTCTTTTTTTTTTTTAATCCTAACCCGAGGACATTTTTCTATTTTTTTGTTCAGATAGAGCACGAGGGAGAGGGAGGGAGGGAGGGAAGGAGAGATAGAGAGAGGGAAAACATCGACGTGAAAGGGACACATCGAGTGGCACTGCGGTCTGCTGGTGGGACCCTGCACGAGCGTCACAGGACGTCACCGCTGCGGGGCCGAGGGTACCCAACATCACTCTGTGTCTTTGTTTTTTAATCCTCACCCAAGGATATTTTTTCATTTATCTTCAAATCACTCTGCATTCTTTTTAAAACTGAATGTGAAATATATAACTAACTCAAAAGGTTTAATTTAATTAAAAAATAGACGCTGAAAGCAAAACTCTACAAAGTAACCATACAAAACATACAAAGATGTGACCGAATCTAGGTTTTCTGAAATAGATTTCCTGAACACATCAGCCTGATTTCACCCAGGCAGACTCGGGGAGCTGTGCTAAAGGCAGGAGGAGAGCTTTCGGACACGCCGAAGACCCGGGACGCGGTGCCGCTGAGCGGAGCTGAGCATTTACTTTTGTATCCTCTTCTCGATGACGGGCCTCACGGCGCTGATCCAGTCGTCTTGACTGCACGCACCTGGGAAGGTAAAAGCATTTACTTCGAATAAAACCAGCGCTGACATGACTTCAACACTCTGGTCCAAAGTATCTCTTCTGATAAATATTTTAGGAAAATCAGGATGGTAACAATCCTTCTAGCATAACTATGTTCAGCTTCTAGTCTTATTTTTTAAATTGAATGTATTGGGGTGACATTAGTAAAATCATATAGGTTTTAGGGGTATAATTCTACAATACATTATCTGTATGTTGCATTATGTGTTTACCACCCCAAGTTTAATTCTTCTCTTAGCAACAAGAGAAACAGAATCATCATAATTTATATTGCCACATTATTTTGTCACTTAGTTGGTGCTCAACAAATGTTTGAGAAGGTAATGAATACGGAGTTATCTCATTAAAGCTCATAATTCTGTGAAATAAGAAAAACTACCTTCATTTTATGGACGATAAAGCTGACAGCTAAGAGAGACGAGTCCCCACGTTAGTGGCCAACGGAGGAACATCAATGTACTCTCCCCCTCAATAACCATTTATCCCGTTTGCTTGAGGTCAGAGACAGGGTGGGGTCAGACAAATCTACCCTTCAGGACAAAGGACAGCACATCAACTCACTATTAAATAGAAACCTTGAAGAAAAACATTTCTGTAGATTGTCAGACACTGACACTGAAGTGACTCTGATCCAACTGCAAACAAAATATTTTGGTACAAGATGACAAAAAATGCTCACTATCCCTCATCAGTAGGTTAAAAACGAGAAAAATAACAAGTTCACTAGACAAAGTAGTTTTTAAAAGTTAATTTAAAAATAAATGATGTGCCCGGCTGGTGTGGCTCAGTGGTTGGGTGTCGGCCCTGCACCAGGAGGTCGCCTGTTCGGTTCCCGGTCAGGGCACATGCCCAGGTTGTGGGCCGGATCCCCGGTGGGGGGCGTGCAGGGGGCGGCCAGTCGATGTTCTCTCTCATCGATGTTTCTATCTCTCTCCCTCCTCTCTCTCTAAAATCAATAAAGAAAAAAAAAATTTAAATAAATTATGTAATCTATGGGTTAAAAACACTTTTTTTCTCTTAGAAGAAATGTAAAGGTTCCCATTGAACTGCAGTGGTGGACAGGCCCTTCCTGGCGGGTAACGGGGTGTCCTGGGGAGCTGAGGCCTCCCCCGCCCCCCGCAGCACTGAGGCGGGAGTGAGACGGCAGGCACAGGGCGGTCACCTAGGTCAATGGGCCCTTCTCGCAGTCCATCCAGCTCGTACAGCCTGCCGTTAACAGGAACGTAACTGACGAAGTGGAAGGCGTCTTCTTCTTTGGCCGACGTCTTGGCATCGAACTCAAACATCTGCTGCCTGCGTGAAGGGAAAGGCAGTGAGCGGCCGGCCGGCCAGCAGCGAGCGGGCCTGTCGCGCGGCCTCCTACCTGGCGAAGCTGTTGTGGACTTGCCGGATCACGTCCGAATTGCTCAGGGCCAGACCTTTCATCTGAAATCGTGTGCAAAAGTCACACGTCACAATAAGAACTGTCACACGCAGGACATCTTGGGAATAGTTAAGATTGTACTCACAGCTGCATCAAAGCTTTGTGAAAATTCTTTAAACTCTGATAATGTCTCTCCTAAATGGACATCCTGGTGGGTACAGTTCAACAGCACACTTACGATGGCTTGTGTAGCACAAGCATTATTAATTACCTATGAAACATAAGAGCGGACATATCAACTTGTTAGGAAGGAAGGCAGCTTTTAACTGGAGACAAGGACACCCCCCAAATATAAAGTTAATAGCTTTCCGGTTTTATCTCATATAGTTTTAACATAAACATTAACTTTAATTTCCATGGTGATCTAGTGTCAGAAACTTGCTGCAGTTCCAGAGTCAAAGATTCTAGGAAACCAAATTAATGAAATGAACTCATTACATTGCTGCCACCAATCCAGTTAGGGCGATGAGACCAACCTTTCCTGATCTAAAACAGAGCTGATGAAGCCAACAGAACTTGCCCTCCCTCCTGTTCACTTCCTCCTAAACTAGCGATCTGCAACCACCATGCTGCAAAGAGTTTTAAAGCACGCAATACCTGACTATTTCGTCAGGGGCACTGACCTCTCTTCCCTTAGACTGTCAAATAAAAAAATGACAGCAGCCAACACAACAATAGCTGTCCAGTGTGAATGAATCAAAATTATCCTATTTCTTTTGTCAGATCTGCAAAAAATATCATGTTCCTTGCAGAATTTTAGTAATCAGTTTGTGAGTGCCATGAGATGAAAAAGGTTGAAAATCGCTGTCCTAAACTCTTCCTACCTGTCCAAATTCAACCCACACTCCAGCACCCAGAGCAAGCGCCAACTCACCTATGTGGCTTTTAGAGAAATTATCCAACAACTCATTAGTTTCGACCCTCATTTGAATTCCTAAAAAGGGCAGAAATCGTCCACCTATTTTTGCAGCTCATTCCGTCTGCACAGGGCTGCCATCTACCTGTCAACTGGTGGAACAGGTTACACCGACCTTCCTCTAGTCTGGGGAGAAACACTTGGATGGCACTCACTACGTGCGAGTACTTTGCTGGGCGCGTCACATGAACTAATTCTTTCAACCCTCTCCACAATCCTCTGAGGAAGGAGCAATATTACTGTGCTCATTTTACAGCTGTGGAAGTGAGGAACAAGGAGGGTCGGGAACCTGCCCGGAGGGCACAGAGCTAAGCAAGGGGCAGTCGGCTTCTGGAGCTTACGCGCTGAGCCAGCGTGCTGGCTGTGCTGCACACGTCTGTGGTCTCCAGCAAGATCACCACCTATTTATGGACACGGGCTTCTTCCACGGTCCCTTCAGCACCCACGGTGCTGAGATCATCAAGCTGGAAAGAACCTCAGATGATCAGTAAACACCAGCAAGATTAATTGCTGAGCTAAATTTGGTAAACGACTGAAAAAATATAGTTTAGTCATACTGCCATATTGCGGTACTAATACTATAATTGAATACCATTTTTTCATTATAGTCTTCCCATGAAATGCCAATTCACTTATGATTTCACAATTTCGTAAATTATCTATTTATATCCTGCCTGATTTCAGAAGAAAAATTTTCAATTATCTTCCCTCTTCAATTCCTTACTCTTCTACTCTTCCTGTTGCCTGAGGCTTCTCACAGACGCTGACTCTTGCACTTTTAACTGCAGTGTGTTTGAGCACGTCTTGACAGACACTGCTTTCTACATTCGGGGACTCTCCCACTTCCCAAACAAGCAGTGAGGCCCCCACACTGGTGTGATTCCTCTCAGTGTCCTGTACTCAAAATGACCACAAACTGGACAAATTAGGAAAAAGGAATGTATCTAGAATCCAATTACTGTGGTTGCTGATTTCCTTTAGTGTCTATTTTGTTTTTCATTTTTAAATATGTTTTTACTGATTTTTTTGAAGAGAGAGAGAGAAACATCGATGTAAGAGAGAAACATTGATCAGCTGCCTCCTGCACGCCCCCTACTGGGGATCGAGCCCACAACCTGGGCATGTGCCCTGACCCGGAATTGAACCAGGACCTCTCAGTCCATGGGAAGACAGTCAGTCTCCTGAGCCACACAGGCTGAGCTTTAGTGTCTATTTTGATCAGAATCACAGTTCGTTAGTAAATTTGGATGAAAAATTTTAATGTTTAAAGGAATCGTCAAAAAGGTGGTTCACCAAAACTTTGGAGGACTTAGTGTTCTTAGCTCTGGTGAAATGATCTGGGGAGAGTTGGAAGTGAAGGAGTGAAGTTAGAAGGGGTTAAAATTTATACTTATTCACACATCTTTCAAAATCATGACACTGTAGGATCCTAATATGTACCCACCCCTAGGATCGAAAGACCTCAAATCTGTAGTTCATCACTTTAGAAAAACTGTGAAAGCATTAGAAAAGAAACTCCTCCCAAACTCATCAAAATGCACACATCATGCGTGCGGTTTCTGCATGTGCATTTCGCTGGAGTCAGGGACAGCCACCTGCCCCTCGCCCTAGCGCGCTGCCCGCCCACCTACGCTCACTGAGCTGTAATTCCACCGGCTTCTTCGGTGCACCCTGCTGGTCTGACTCCTGTGCCCGGAAGCTGTTACTAATCTGGCTGATCCTCTCGCTCTCTCCCCCAGCTAATGCCTACTTAACCTCTGGATTTCTGCTGAATTGTCACTCATGGAGCTTTCTCAGATCTCCCTGAAGAGGCCAAGTAAATGCAGTGAAGCATTTAATTTCGCAGAGAGGTCTGGCCTTCGTCCTTGGCTCCTGGGACAAGATGGAGCTCTCGTAAAGCCATGCCTCATAGTTTGTTTACCTGGGGGCTGTGGCTCACCAGGGCGGCTGGAGGCAGACCATCCACGCGGTTGTCAACCATGGTGAGGTCTACGTGACTGGGGCCACGAGAAGCTCTGGATACCGAGAATCAGCTGTGATTCCCTGGGTGGCAACAATCGGTGCCCCATCACACATCAGTGCCGGGAAAGGCAACGGCAGCTAGGACTGCACCGGGGAAGGTGACCGGAAGCGTCCCACGGGAACCTGCTCAACTCTGCCCGTGTCTCTGCCCTGAGCTGAACTTAACCTTAACTTTTCCCAGTAATAAACATAACGGTAACCATGACGAGAGCTTTCAGGGAAGATGATGAGTCTGTCTAGCCAATTACAGAACCTGAGGGTGAGCCTGGGGACACCCTGGATGTGCAATGTCAGAAGGGAGGGTGGTTCCGGGGCCCCTGAACTCTGTGGTTGGTGTGCGAAGTGAGTCAGCTCACGGATTATCTTCCCACCGCGCAACGTGGTTCTCATGTCACGCCACGTGGTTCTCATGTCACGCCACGAGGGACTCGTCGCCACTGCGATTTTATCTTCCACGGACTGCCCGGCGCCTCCGCGGAGCTCCCAGCCCCTCAGGGGCAGGGACCCTGCACACCCCTGCCCAGGCGCCACGCAGGCAACAGCCCGAGGCAGACAGCCCGGGACCCCCGCAGCGTGACGACCACGTTCCCCACACCTTCCCTTGCTCAGCAGGGAGATGGCCACCAGGCGACGCTACCGACAGGGAAGCCTTACCACATTGTCCTCCCTGCAGCCTTCCACACACATTGTCATGGCAAGAAGACAACTTATTTCTCAGTATTCTCCTAATCGACGATCCTGACACACAGACCTCCAATTAGAGCATCCGACTAGCACTGGACAGCCAGCTTGATCGCCATCGAGTTCCATGCAGTTCTTTGGGAGCTCGATCACTTTTGAGAAGGTAAAGCTAAGCCACGACGTTTGAGGACTGCTACATTACAGCCACATAGCAGGGACAAAGTCCTGGGCGTAAGAAAACTGCTCGCAGGACTTCAGGGAACCCAAGGACCTTACCTGCTTGGCAAAAAAGATCGTGTCGAGTCTGGAGTCCTGGACCACGGAGCCCGCGGGTTCTTCTCCTGGCTGCCACTTGAAGAGGAAAATCAAGCCGTGGACAGGCCTGCAAAGTAAAACACACACTGGTGACACCACACCCTGATGCTCTGCGGACACGTTGTTAGCATATTACATTTTACTCTACTACTTAACGAATACAATGCAAATGAAGTAAATCCACAAAAATTTTAAAGATTTCTTTTGCTACTCGGTTGCTACAATGTTGCCTAAGACAGGCTAATAAAACTTAAAAAGTTAAAATAGAATAATAATGGCCCTGGCTGGTTTGGCTCAGCGGTTAGAGCGTCCACCTGCGGTCCGGAGACCCGGGTTCGGTTCCCGCTAAGGGCACGTACCTCGGTTGCAGTTTGTCCCCGGCCCTGGTTGGTCGTGCGGGTGGCAGCCACTCGATGTGTCCCTTTCACATCGATGTTTCCCTCTCTCTCTCTTCCTCTCTCTCCCTCCCACTCTGTCTGTACAAAAAATGGAAAAATGTCCTCGGATGAGGATTAAAAAAATAAATAAATAAATAAAATAAAATAAAATAAAATAAAATAAAATAGAATAATAATGAAAGGTTTATTCTCAAACCTGCAGATCATTCATTTCTACCGTAGGTCACGTCACTTAAAAAGGGAAAATAAGAACAAAGCAAAACTAGAAGAAGCTGCTAACCTAGACTGAATTCCAACATCGATGAATAAAGTTCGCTTAGGCTGTCTACGGACAACTGGTGGACAGCACACACGCTGTGAAATACAAGGGTCACTTCGTACGACTCTTGGGTGCATGAGCAATCCTCACTGCAGGGTGAGGGAAGGTACTCGAGGACGTCACCACGCTCCTACAGGAACTGTCGTTGCCCAGAAAACGTCACATCGACCCCCTAGGGTTCTCTCCAGTCCCTTTCACAGCTGCCTTCCAACAAAAGTCTTTCCTCTCCTTTTTTTTTATATATATATGTATTTTGTTCAGATAGAGTGGGAAAGAGGGAGAGAGAGAGAGAAACATCGACGTGAAAGGGACACATTGAGTGGCTGCCACCCACACAACCCAACCAGGGCCAGGGACAAACTGCAACCAAGGTACATGCCCTTAGCAGGAACCGAACCCGGATCTCTCTGGACTGCAGGCTGACGCTCTAGCTGCTGAGCCAAACCAGCCAGGGCCTTTCCTGTCCTTTAAAGACAGTTCTAAGACGCATCTGTAACTAAGCTTCCTGATCCCTCAGCTGAAAGTGACCTTATTCCATCTAAAATGACTGCGCTCTTCGCAGAAGGGAAGATGGGGAAGCAAACCATCCCCTTCTTACGACGGAAACAGAAGCCGTGTCCCAACGGTCCCACTGCCGTGAAAGGCCAACTCGCCTCCATCTCCTACCAGTGAGAACGCTGGCCCCGCTTTGCAACACAGGGTCAGCACTTGGGGACACGGAGCTGGGCAGTGAGGAGAGGCTCAGAGGGGAGGCTGCAGTCAGAAGGCGGGGGAAGAGGATGGCACTTCCTGGCACCCACATTTGGACCTGGACTGCACCTCCCCAGAAGCAATGGGAGGATGTACACACGAGTCTGAATTATTATTAATACACAGTAGTAAAGGTGCTTTTGTAGGCTGATCTCTTATTCAGGTCTTTAATGCTAAAATGTGTTCCATGTTCTAATCCATTATCTAGAAGCAAATGTTGTAAAAAAAAATCAACCAATTACTTTGTTGACATAGAATTAGCAGTCTTAGTTTTTAATCCCTTTCAAGCTACTTATCTAGAAGCCTCAGGTTCTTGGTTATAAAAGGAGAATAACAATTCCTATCTCACAGGATTGAAAAGAGACTTGAAGGAGTCCTGTGTTCAGCCAAGGACGATCCAAGTAAAATAAACTGACAAAAGTCTGCTTAAGTATAGACAATTTTTAACACAACTAAAATTATACTTACTTTAATTTTTCAAAATTCTCAGGCTCTAAACTCCATATTTCTTCTACTTGGGCTCCGCGGCAACCTGAAATAAGAAATTCTTTCTTTAGAAAACAAACGACGGAACTCATTTTTTTCCTTCACCATTAACTATTAACTAGAAGAGCCCTGGCCGGTTTGGCTCAGTGGTTAGAGCGTCGGCCTGCGGTCCAGAGAGACCTGGGTTCGGTTCCCGCTAAGGGCATGTACCTCGGTTGCAGTTTGTCCCCGGCCCTAGTTGGGTTGGGTGGGTGGCAGCCACTTGATGTGTCCCTTTCACGTTGATGTTTTTCTCTCCCTCTCTTCCTCTCTCTCCCTCCCACTCTATCTGAACAAAAAATGGAAAAATGTCCTTGGGTGAGGATTAAAAAAAATATTAACTAGAAGACATGCACGTTTGGGACAGTAAGACGTGATAAATTAAAATGGTAAAACAGATAAAAGTTCACAGCCGAATCCTATTATGTCCTTTACTCCTTTCTAATTATTTACAATGGGAGGTATTGCTTTCACAACTTTAAAAAGTTCCAGTTTACTCTCACTGACTTGCCACTCCATGTCAGCTCCTTCTTGGTTTCGCCCAATCTCTGGCTCTACTGCACCCACTTCTCTCGATCAATCGCCAATCTTCCCCAGCTCTGCCCTTGGCCATCTTTTTTCTTATTGTGTATTTTTTTTTAAGTGGTAATAAGTAACTGTCACTTTTCAGTGACTTTTTTCTTAATCCTCACCTGAGGATATTTCTCCATTTATGTTCAGATAGAGTGTGAGGGAGGAAGAGAGAGAAACATCGATGTGAGAGAGACACATTGCTTGGCTGCCTCCTGCACAACCCTGACCAGGGTCGGGACCAAACAGCAGCTGAGACACGTGCCCTTGACCGGAATCAAACCCATGACTCTTCAGGCTGATACTCTAACTGCTGAGCCAAACTGGCCAGGGCTAATAACGACTTTTATATTACGTGTTTAAGTCTCTCTCTTTTCCTAGATTTCTATTCTATTCAGAGTCCCCCAAACATGCTCTCCCTCTAGAACAGTGGTTCTCCACCAGGGTGATTTTTTTGCCCCCCCAGGGAACATTTCACAATATCTGAAGACATTTTTACTGCCATTGTCACACTGTGGGGCAGGGGAGTAGGGCTGGCAGCATCTACAGGGCAGAGGCCAGAGGGGTAGCATCCTGCATTGCAGGGATAGCCCAGCAGCAAAGAGTGATCTGGTCCAATGTCCACAGTGCCAAGACTGAGGGACCCTGCTGTGTGGTGCGGGTCATGGTAAGAGGGCCCTGGGAAAGCGCTCACCCTCCAAACTACTAGTGGTATGACCATGTCCTCTCTGCTCCCCAGAGCTGTGAGGAACACGAGGTCACTTATTATGCATGATACCTTTAATACAGTGCCTGGGACACTCTGTGGGTTCGCTAAATGTTACGTGGTATTATTATAATGCTACAAGAAACAGCCATATATACCAGTGTTTTCTAGGTGTAAGGTGCTTTAAATGCATTTTCTCTTATCCCTGTAAGGCAAGTATAACGTGAAAAAGGTGTAGGGATGTTAAGTGGCTTTGCCTAAATTCACTAGTATATGCCAAAAACCCAGATCTGGTTCCACAGTCCGGACACTTTCTGATATCCCAGATTATGTTCAAGTGTGAGCCAGAGAAGCCTATAGACCACCTGCAAAAATCAGTGCCTTAAAGAAAAAAAGGGGTTTCAGACATTCATGACTCCATTTGCCCTGCTCAGCAAATACCTATCAAGTGCCCACCCACTCTGGTATTGAAAGTATATTAAAAGTATTGGATTGGATTTGCTAAGATTCTGTTCACAATTTTTACATCTATATTGATAATAGATATAGGTCTGTACTTTCCTTTTCTCGCAAGGATAATGCTGGCCCTCACAGAGTAAGTTAGGAAGTATTCCTTCCTCTCCAATTTTTCTGGAAAAGTTTGTGTAGAATTGGCATTACTTATTCCTTACTTATTTGACTGAATTTACCAGCAAAATGATTTTGGCTGAAATTGTCGCTGTAAAAATATTTTAAATTACAATTTCGATTTCTTTAATACATGTAAGGTTATACTGGTTTTCTCTTTTTCTTGACTGAGCTTTGGTAATTTGTGTCTTTGAAGGTATTTGTATATTTCATTTAAGATGTCAAATTTATTGGTATAAAGATGTTTACAGTGTCCCCTTACTATCCTTTTATTAGCTGTAGAACCTGTAGTGATATCATCTCTCTCTTTTTGATGCGGGTCATCTGTGTGTCCTGTGCTCTTCTGATCATTCTGGTTAGAGGTTTATCCATTTTATTGATCTCTGAGAAACCGACTTTTGGTTTCATTGATGTTCTTCACGATTTTTCTCTTTTCTTTTTCAGTAATTTCAACTCTCATCTTTATAATTTCCTTTCATCTGTTTACTTTATATTTAATTTGCTCTTCTTTTTCTAGTTTTTTAAAGTGAAAGGTGGGGTCATTGATTTGTTGTAGGAAAAGTAAATCCAGCCCCTCTTACTAAATTCTGGTTGGAAGCAGAAATGTACAACCTTTTTTTTTAAATGGGTAGACTATCAGTTTCTTTTGGTGCATTTATGAATTACATATGCATCATACCAATTAAAAGTATAGTTCTGTTCCATCAGTTTAATTTAATAAAAACTTTGCTTTTACCGTATTATTTGCCACCAAAACCTGTATTTATACATTCACTGAATCCACAAATAATTTTCCCTCAATGAAGAAACTTTAAAAATAAATTGAGAATAGCCTTCATAGATATTTCACTTTTGAAAGAATGAACTCTTATGCAGGACTTTTATTAAATCATTTCCAATTCCAAGTTTTCTGCACACGTGAGATTGACATAATCAATAGTTGTTCACGGAGTGACTTACTTTAAAAATAAACAAATGTGTCTAGTATAATACAGGAGCAGGCAAAAGTAGGTGTACAGGTGTCCATATGGAAGGTAATAATAATGCAAGAATAAACTGTCTCATGTCCTCACGAGTGTAAACCTCCTTTTGCTCACCCCTGCATTTCTTAGTTAACTTTAATGTCCTAATAGGGTTTTGAAGGTACATTTTATGGCTAAACCTGCAGACATCTCACCTCAGTGCACATCCAAAACTGAACCCCTTTTCTCCATCGAGCCCTCTCCTCTTGTGCTTTACCAGCCCCCCCGCCTGGAAAGCATGGCGTCATCTTCTCCTATCCCTTACATTCAGCCTGCGGTCCTGTCGGTTTCAGGACAGCAAAATCCATGACTGTACCTCCTCCTCTCTAACCCATACTTTTTTAAAACTATGTTTTTATTGGTATTTAGAGAGGAAGGGAAAGAGACAGAAATGTCGATCGGCTGCCTCCTGCACGTCCCCTACCAGGGATCAAGCCCACAACCCAGGTATGTTCCCTGAACGGGAATTGAGCCAGTGAGCTCTTGGTGCAATGGACCATGCTCAGTCCACTGAGCCACACCACTGGGCCCTAAGCCATACTTTACGTCGATCTCTCAGACTCAGACCATTGTAAGCGACTATTTTTTCTCACTTCATTCCAGTCTATCCTGCCCACTACACATAGTCAACTTTTTTGGTTATAAAAATGTCATTTCGGCCCCGGCCGGTTTGGCTCTGCGGTTGGAGTGTTGGCCTGCGGACCAGAGAGTCCCGGGTTTGGTTCCCGCTAGGGGCACGTACCAAAAAAAAAAAAAAAAAAGTCATTTCAGCATTCAAGTATCTTTTTTTTTTTTTTTTATCCTCAGCCGAGGACATTTTTCCATTTTTTGTTCAGATAGAGCGTGAGGGAGAGAGAGGAAGAGAGAGAGAGAGAAACATCGATGTGAAGGGACACATCGAGTGGCCGCCACCCGCACGACCAACCAGGGCCGGGGACAAACTGCAACCGAGGCATGCGCCCTCAGCGGGAACCGAACCCGGGTCTCTCTGGACCGCAGGTCGACGCTCTAACCGCTGAGCCAAACCGGCCAGGGCAGCATTCAAGTATCTTTGACAGTGAAGTCCCCAGTGACTACAGGGCCATACAAACTATACAACAGAGCATCCACTCTGGCCTGTTTATCTTTTCAGCTTCAGATACAAATACTCATCCGGTCTGTTACATTATTTGAGTCACTCTGCTAGCTGTTCCTAGGCCAACACTTTAACATCAGCACTCCTGTTTTAGTTCTTCCTTCCGCCTGTGTCTCTGTGACATTCTGCTCAGACTTCAAGGTGGCAACCGATACCCCACACTGCCGTCTGTGAGTTCTTTAGAACCTCAGGCATGGTCCATTCACACTGAAAACCCCCAAACCCTGCCCGCGGGCCGAACCACACACGCTGGGTGAGCGATACTGCACATATCCAGCTGTGTGCAAGAGACGGTATCTGCGGCCACGTTTAATTTCTACCCCGAGTCCAAGTCTTAACATAATGGCTGGAATCAATACCACTTCGGGAAATGTGACGGATAAACAGAAACCGAGCGCCCCCACGAGAGGCTGGGACCAGGAGGGACGGGAAGAGGCCGAGAGGTCCAATGTGTGCGTTCCTAGGGGGGAAGCCGGGAGGAGTGCGGAGGCAGGCATGTGGTCTCGGGCTGCCACACTGGCTCAAGCGGACACGCTCGGCCGGAAGCCAGGGATGAGCAAGGGGCAGGGGCAGGGGCAGGGGCAGGGGCAGCGCGGCGGCCGCGGGTCCCACGCCGCCGGCGGGCGGCGGCCGCCGCTACTCCCACGCTCGAGGTGTCCGGCTTCCCAAACAACTAGAGGCTCGGGTTCGCGGGCGGCTGCGGCCTCCGGCCCCGCACCCTGCAGGAGGCACACCCCGGCTCTCCCCGCAGGACGGCGGCCCGGCGTCGGCACCGGGGCGCACCGGCCGGCGGCGGCGCTCGGCACAGGTGCGCAGCGGCAAGGCTGGCGCTGAGGGGGCCGGGGGACCGGGGGGGTGCGGGGCACTCAGTGCAGCAAGTCGCGGGGGCCGGGGGCGAGGACGCGGCAGCGCACACACCGCCCCGGCCCCGTGCGCGCCCTCGAAACCGCTGCGGAGACGCGACCGCCCGGGGGCCCGGCCCTGCCCCTCCCCGCGTCCCTCCGGGTCCCCGGAGCCGCCAGCTTTGCCGCCCGGGTCGGGCCTCCTCCGTGACCCCCCGGCCCAGGACGGTCCCCTCGGCTCTCACCGAATCCTTTAATGAGCTCGGTGAAGACCCCGGGGTCGCTCTCCATGAGGCACCACTCCCCGGCATTGCCCGTCATGGCCCCGGCCGCACGCCGCCCGCTCCACCTCGGACGCTGGCCGCCACCGGCACGCGCTGCCGCCGGCCACCGATCTCCGCAAACCCGCCACGGAGCTCGTCAACCCCACGTCACCCCGCCTACTTCCCGACAGCCTCCGGGCGGCGTCCCCGGCAGCGCGTCAGAGCGCGGGAGGACGCTCTAGCCACCCAGGAGCCAGCGAAACTCTTCCCCGGCCGCGCGGGACCCAAAGCGGAACCGGAAGGGGCGGGGCCTCAGGGCGCGGGAGGAGGCCACATCCGGGGTTCTCGCCAATCCGGAGCGAGGGCGGGCCCGGCGAGAGGGGCGGGGCTCACTGCCGGAGCCGAACCTGGAGGCCCGGCGGCGGCGTGCAGTCGGAGCAGGCGTCGCCCGCCAGGCCGCCGCGTCTTCTCGTGTCCCCGCGCTGCGCAGGGCTCTCCCGGGGCGCTGCGGGTGGGAGGGCCGGCCGCCCAGCACAGGTGAGGAGGCCGCGGGAGGCCGGCGGGGGCCTTTCGTGCGGTCTGGGCGGCCCCGGGGCGCGCAGGCTCTGCCGGCCTCCAGGTCCTCGCCGCGCATCCCCGCGGCCCAGGCCGAGCAGACGCGTCGCCAGGCCGTCATTGTCCCCTCCCCGCCCCGCCCTGGCCGCCGAGCGGACCCTGCACCGCCGTGGGCACATCCTCGCTCGGCCGGGCCCGGGCGCCCCGAGGGTGGGCCTCCCGAACCTGGGCAGCTCCCGCCGGAGCCCGCGCAGCCCGGGGCCCGGAGGCCCGCCTTCCTCCGCCTGCGCCTCCGGCTCCTCCGGCTCCTCCCGCGGCCTCTGCCCGGGTCTGCGTTCGGGAAGGAGGGTTTTTGTGGGGAGCAGGGAAGGGGGGCGGGAGCTGTGCCCGGTGCCCCGGGCGGGGATGGACAAGGTTGGGGGACGCCTCCGAGGTGGCCGGACGTGTCGTGTTCACCGGAACGCATCTGGCGGTTCCACGATGCAGCGATGCGTTGACCCCGACGTGGCCATTTTCACGCCGTCGCCCTCATTCAAGGGGCTTTGGCCAAAGACTCGTGTTAGTGGTGCACGTCTTTTAAGAGTATATTTTATTTACGTGCAGGGGAGATAGGCAGTCGTGTTGTGATAACGACACATGGTTCTAGGCGAGTGCTGGAAAAATCGGGGGGAACTTTGTGAAGTGTGTGATGGTCTCACCACCGGTGTACGTTAAAACAGATACAAAATAATGTGCAACGCTAACTGTAATTGAAGATTGTTTTTTAAGTACATTTATGCATCATTCCTTAAACCTCTTGCGTTCCAAGAAAGGCCTTTAGCTTCCAGAAAGAAAGAAAGAAAGAAAGAGAGAGAGAGAGAGAAAGAAAGAAAAAAAAACGTGTTCGTGCATAAAACTGGCGATTCCTTGCTGATCATACAGGTGACCTGCACCCAGGAGTTACAGTGAGCACTGTGCCACGTGAAGTCACACACTGAACGCTACAAATTTTACAACAGAACGGCTTGTATATTAAAACAGGCATGGGTATAATACGGAATAGACTCCAATTTGTATCAGGTGTTTGATTTAGAAAAACAAACCAACAAACAGAAACAAAACTTTCTTGAGGTTTGTCCCTGGGATTCTGCCCTTAAGCTCGGGTTTGCCCTGTTCAATCTTTGCCCTGTTAATGGTACTTAAATGGAAAAATGTGTCAGGCACAGGGGTCCAGCCTTATACCCTTAGGAACCACGCCTAGGAGTGTCGTCAGTATTTGTAAATACTGCCCTGAACGTGAAAGAGTTTTCTGTGCTAAATAAATACATCAAAACTAACATGTATTTGAAACCCAGCTTAACGTGGTGCCTACTGAAGACAGACCAGACTGAACCTTTAACTCTTGACACAACCTGAAAATTAATGAGAAAGGGGGTTAAAATTTCCTTAATGTTGTTAACATTTAATCCTAAGAGTTCATGTACAAATCCAGGTCTCCGAGTCTGAGAAAAAGGAAAGAACCTGGCAGCACTAGGCCGTGTCACAGGCAGAGGCTCGGCCTTCGGGGTGGCATGTTGACTTGCTCACTCTTGTCCGTGACCGGCCTACCTGTGAATTTGCCGCCCCAGCTTTTTGCAGCAGTGTTTTTATGTTTTCTGTTTGTTTGTTTGTTTTAGCTCTTGCACACTTTCATAGATGTAAGTAATCTCCGACAACTTAAAAATGAGTAAGCTGCTACCTTGTTTGACTTCTGGGGTGAACAGTAGCACTGTCAAATAACAAATGATCAGAGATTTGGGAAAGAATTCGAATGTATACATTTAAGGAAATGTAGGAATCTGTAGAAATAGTATATTATTAGTACCGTGTAACGGTGCTGTAACTGTTCTAGTTCTAACAAGTGTGACGCAGAAAGCAGTGCTGTTACACACTGCGTATTACCAGCGTTCGCTGACTGCATTCAAAGTTAAGCAATTAAGAAAGAGAAGTAGGCAGTGTATAAAACATCCACAACCAATTTCAACGTGTGTCCCATGCTTTTAATAATACTGAGAGCTGTTTCATGTCTTCCAAAATTTCTCACTTGTAGAAGTTTAATGCATCTTTGGCTGTATTAAATTCTTTGGAGGGGTATGCTTTAAGAGCGCGGGGTAAGTCAGACCAACCCACAGAAGAATGAACTCTTATTGTTGTTGTTGTTAATCTGGATTTAAAACACTTGATTATGTGGGAGTGGGGTGGGGAGGAATGGATGTGCGTTATCAACCCAAAAGGCCCTAAGGTCTTTCTTAGGGTCAGATACTGTAACTGCCATCCCTACCCCTTTGTTTCTCTGCTTGGGACTCTAGACCCCATACTAGCTGCCTGCTGAGTCTCTGAAGCAACAAACTACACCTCAGAAATGTGACTTCTTAGTTGTTACGTCTAATTATCTTAGCTCCACTTACTGTGCTTAAAAAATATTTTTATATCAAAAGTTTTCATGGTAGATTTCAATAAGCATAGATTAATAAATACTTCCCTTTTTCCTTTTTATAATTTTGCTGTGCCAGTCAAGTAACATTTTGCTTTTTGATAGGTTTCCTAAAAGACAGAAAATGGAGGACTCGGTCAACCAGATGCAACCCCTGAACGAGAAGCAGATGGCCAACTCTGAAGATGGATATGTCTGGCAGGTCACTGACATGAATCGCCTGCACCGCTTCTTATGTTTTGGTTCTGAAGGTGGGACTTATTACATCAAAGAGCAGAAGCTGGGCCTTGAAAACGCCGAAGCTTTAATTCGGCTGATCGAGGATGGCAGAGGCTGCGAGGTGGTCCAGGAAATCAGGTCCTTCAGCCAGGAAGGCAGGGCCGCCAAGCAGGAGCCCATGCTCTTCGCGCTGGCCGTTTGTTCCCAGTGTTCCGACGTCAGCACGAAGCAAGCGGCCTTTAAAGCCGTCGCTGAGGTTTGCCGCATCCCGACACATCTCTTCACTTTCATCCAGTTTAAGAAAGACCTGAAGGAGAGCATGAAGTGCGGCATGTGGGGGCGCGCCCTCCGGAAGGCCGTGGCAGACTGGTACAATGGGAAAGGCGGCATGGCCCTGGCCCTGGCGGTCACCAAATACAAACAGAGAAACGGCTGGTCTCACAAGGACCTCTTACGACTGTCGCATCTTAAACCGTCCAGTGAAGGTGAGCGTCTTTGCCTCGGGCGGGGGACAGATATCCAGTAAAGAACAAATTTATTAGACATAAGACAGTTGTGTAATATTTTCTAGAAATAGCCTTTCATTTTCAAGACACATTGACTAATGTAAATATGTTTAATGCCAGCCTGGAATTAAACACCTACCACGGGCAATCCAGACATTAATAATCAAGAATCACACGACAGAGTTATAGGTTAGTCGTCTACATCTTAAAATGCCACATGCTAACTGGAATACTTGTCCAAGTGCTTATGGGTCATGAAAGCAGCCAGCTCCTAGCCAGTAGGTGGCAGATAGCTGGGCTCGGTAGCCCCTTCTCATTTTTGTCCCTCCCTGCCTTCCTAGGACATATGTTCCATGGAACCTAAAGGCTACCTGAAATAGGGCTCTGAACGTAACAATTCAGGATATTAATTGTCTCCAAGCAATCACCCAGGGGACATGATAATTTGGGCCAGTTTTTCTGTCTATGGGAAGAGACCTTTGAGAAGCTACTTGTATCTACGTTAATTACTTAGTCCTTAGAAGGAAATAAAATCTTTTGGTCAATAATAATTGAAAGCGTGGTGTGATCTACGAAAATCAACATGCCCAAAACTTTGCCGGTCTTCTACACCAGAAGTGAAACTTGGAAAGAGAGCCACTCCCAAGGGTTCAGATTTCAGTTCTGCCCATTACTTTGTGTCCTGACGCTGAGTAACTTAACCTTTCTGAGTTGCTGTATCTTCATCTAGTAAGAAGGGAGGAGGGGCGTAACCCTCCTGGTGATAGATAGGGGTGTTCCTGGTGTGTAGCAGAAGGCAGTGCTGGTCTCTCCTTCCATGTGTGTCATGTCATGATATCTCCATACAGTCTCCTCCAAAATTCCTCATTCATCGCTTTTTATTCTAAGTGGACTTCTTCACATGAAATTTAGGCAGTAAATTATTGCAAATATTTATGTACACAAACATTTATAGTTTGATTTTAATTAGAAATCATGTGCTTGTTTTAATAGAAAAATATGATGCAGAAAGTAGTAATCCAAAAGACATCTTTCCATAGGCTATGTTGCATATTACTGCAGATTTTTTCTAATTTTATTTATTTTTAATTATATACCTTTGTTTCGGTCAAAGTGTATTATTGATATTTTTCAGGTCAGAAATAGTTGATACATACCATTGTACGAATATGCTATAATCTGTTTAGTCTCTTACTGATGGCAGTTAAATAGCTTCCAGTTTCTTTTGCTATTTCAAAATACTGTGAAAAAACTTGCACAATACAAATATTTCTATAATGGTTAATCCACAAAGGGTAAATGAAAGTGGCAAGTTGACCCACATTTAAACACTGACAATTATCAGTGGGGTTTTTTATTTTTATGTATTTACCGATTGTATTTTTTGTAGGTTATATTGTATTTTCATCCTCTTATCCGTTGAGTTACTCATCTTTTTAATATTCATTATAGTCACCATTCAGTGTATTCAAAAAATATTTATTGAGCACCTACTGTGGATGGGCACTGTTCTAAAAACTTGTAATACCTAGTATAAGAATAATTTATTATTATATATATTGTGTGCACTTTTTTCTTTCTCTGTTTTTTGATGGGGCATTGTTTTTGGCACATTGAAGTTTTAAATTTAATGTACTGAAGCTTATCTGTTTTTTCATAGACTTGTTTTATGTTAAGTTTAGAAAGAACTTTTTCAGCCTTGACCGGTTTGGCTCAATGGTTAAAACATCAGTCCTTGGACCAAAGAGTCAAGGGTTTGATTCCAGTCAAGGGCACAGACCTCAGTTGCAGTTCAGTCCCTGGTCCTGGTTGAGGTCATGCGGGAGGCAACCAGTTGATGTGTCTCTCTCACATCGATGTCCCCCCCAACTCTATCTGAAGATGAATGGAAAAATATCCTCGGGTGACGATTAAAACAAAGACCTTTTTCAACTTAGAGTCATAAAAATATTTACCTGTGATTTTTTTGTTTCTAACATCCATGGTTTAATTTTTTACTTTATTATTATTTTTTATTCCATAAACATGTTGTGATTTTTACCTACTAATCCTACCTGCCTTTTCAATTCTTTATTGTGTTAAAGGACTTGCTATTGTGACCAAATACATTACGAAGGGCTGGAAAGAGGTCCAGGAGTTGTATAAGGAAAAAGCGCTTTCTGTGGAGACTGAAGAATTACTGAAGTACCTGGAGGCTATAGAGAAGGCGAAGCGCACGAAAGACGACCTGGAAGTCGTTCAGCTGATCGAAGAGCACAGGTTGGTCAGGGAACAACTTCTGACAAATCACTTGAAGTCGAGAGAGGTAAGTAAAGTGTAATGTGTTACAGTATGTGGTTAGACGGTACTATGGTAATGTATTAAAGGTAGCTGGGCCGGTGTGGCTCAGTGGATTGAGCTTCAGTCCCATGGACTGAGAAGAGGTCCCAGTTGGATTCCTGGTCAGGGCACATGCCTGGGTTTCTGGCTTGATCCCCAGTAGGGGGCGCGTAGGAGGCAGCTGATCGATGTTTCTCATATTGATGTTTCTATCTCTCCTCTCTTCTCTCTAAAAAAATTAATAAAAACATTACAAAAAGATAAACTGTGGGTGACCATTCATTCATTCTTTGTAAGGAAAAATACCTAACACAATGCCCAGATGTAATTGCATTCAATAAGGATTAAAGAACAAGTTTGTTTGATAAGGCTCTGACCAATGTGCACAAATTTTTATGTAGAAAGTGCTCTGAACCCTAAAGGAAAGCCTTAGAAAATATATTACTAATATTATTATTGATACATGTATGTGACACTGATTGATAATCCCTTATGTTTCTGCCTGTGTTGGTGTAACAGGTGTGGAAGGCTTTGTTACAAGAAATGCCTCTTACTGCGTTGCTAAGGAATCTAGGAAAGATGACCGCTAATTCAGTGCTTGAACCAGGAAACTCAGAAGTATCTTTAGTATGTGAAAAACTGTGTAACGAGAAACTATTAAAAAAGGTAAGCATTACCTTTATTAGCTAGTACTGATTGAAAAAGTTGGCTCCTGAATTTTGGAAATGCTGTCAGCATATGTTTCATGAAATACACTAGCTACAGTAACAAATGTCTAAGGCACATACTGCTAGTTGTCATTTGAACTTTGCATTCACTTTCTGTGTTTGTCCCGTTCCAGGCTCGCATACACCCATTCCATGTTCTGTGTTTGTCCCGTTCCAGGCTCGCATACACCCATTCCATGTTCTGACTGCGCTGGAGACCTACCGAGCGGGGCACGGGCTCAGGGGGAAGCTGAAGTGGCGCCCCGACGAAGGGGTCCTGAAAGCTCTGGACGCCGCCTTCTACAGGACATTCAAGGTGATGGTCTGATCTTTGTCTTAAACAAATTCTCCAGTTAGGTAGGCCTTTGTATCTTCTGTAAAAACACATTCTAAAGATATTAAAAGCGCTTTTTGATTACTCATTTGTTTTTCCTTAGTTCATGTGAAGGTGGGTGTATAATTAACACCATACATTTATGAATAAAGTTTTCCCCCAACCTTTGGCACTAACCAGTTATCCTGAGATCATTTTGCTAAGTTTTAAATGACCAGATTTAAAAGTATGCGCTTCTGTGGAGTCCTTTGAGTGGGTCGTCTGTCCTCTGCCCTTCGTTGTTCCTGTTAGTCAGTACATTTCCTGTGTCTTGATAGGAGGCGACTTTGGGACTGGAAATCCTGCTTCAGCACCATAGGTTAAAATTTGGGGTTTTAAAATTTGTTGTTTAACGAAAGACTAGCAACCAAATTCAGGAGCAAGTTAAGGTATTATACCAGTGAGATCTGTCCTCTGTCTGCAAGAATGGTGCAGTACAGGAAAGCCAGTCAGTGTAATCGCATTAATAAAATGAAAGGATGACCACATGATCCTCTAATTGGTGCAGAAAAAGCATTTGACAATTCAGTACCCTTTCATGATTTAAGAAAAAAAGCACTCAATAACTAGGAATAGAAGTGACCTTCCTCAGCATGACAAAGGCCATATATAAAAAAACCCACTGCTATTATTTTACTCAATAGTGAAAGATGAAATCTTTTTCCCTAAGATCAGGAACAAGATAAGGATGCCTACTTTTTCATTTCAATTCCTCAAAGTACTGAAAATTCTAAAACTTAGGCTAGAAAAAATAAAAGGTACCCAAATTGCAAAGGAAGCAAAATTATCTCTGTTTTCAGGTGACATGATCTTAAGTGTAAAAAAACACTGATGAATTCATAAGAAATTACTACAGCTTACAACAAATTCAGCAGAGTTTCAAGATACAAAATCAACAGGCAGAAATGAGTAGTATTTCTATACACTAGCCCTGAACAATCCAAAAATTAAGTTAGGAAAACATTTCCAATTTTAGTAGCATCAAAAAGAATAAAAGACAGGAATAAATTAACTAAGGAGGTGCAAACCTATACCTGAAAACTACAAAACATTGCTGGATGAACCTTAAGACATGAACGGGAAGACATTTCATGACCCTAGTTTGGAAGACTTAATATTTGTAACATGATCGTGCCATCCAAATAATCTACAGACCAATGTGATCCCTATGGCATGTTCAGGAACAGGAAAACCCGTTCTAAACACATGGTTGTGCTGTCGGGACCCCAAATAGTGAGATCAACCTTCAAAATGAAAAAGTTTGAAGACTTACACTTGCAGACTCATTCACTCCTCCTCTCCCTCCTCTCTTCTCTCCCTCTCTCCTTCCCTCCTCTCCTTCCCTCCCTTCCACTCTATAAATCAGTGGAGAGAATTATCCTGTGAGGGTTAACAACAAAAACCAATGGGATATCACTTCACACTCGTTGGATGGCTCTTATCAAAAAGGCAGAAGCAACCAGCAAGAATTGAAACTAGTATATTGCTGGTGGGAATGGAAATGATACAGCCCTGTGGAAAACAGGTTTTTAGTTCCTCAAAAAGTTAAATGATGGATTACCACACCTTCCAGCTATTCCACCACTTATATACCCAAAATAACTGAAAACGGCTCAGATACTTGTACACAAATGTTCATAGGAGCATTATCCACAGTAATCAACAAGCAATGGATAAGCAGTGTGTTCGGCCTCACAGCGGAATGGAAATAGACATGTGCTGCAACGTGGATGAGCCTTGAAAACGTCATGCTAAGTGAGAGGCGCCAGACACAGAGGGACAGGTGTTACATGTTTCACTTAACGAGGTCTTTAGTAGGCGAATTCACAGACAAAAGAGAGGTTGCCCGGCGCGAGAGGGAGGGAGGAGTGGGGAGTTATTTAATGCGCACAGATTTTCTCCTTGGGACGATGAAAAAGTTCTGGAAATAAATGGTGGTGGTAGTTACACAGCACTTTGAACATGCTTAATGCCACTGAGCTGCACAATTGAAAACAGTAAAATTTTTGTTTATATTTTACCACCAAAAAAGATTTTTAACAATTTATTGGTGAAATTATTACAGAAGTCGCCCCATCGACTCCCTCTCCTCCCAATCGGCAGGCCTGCACGGTCCGTTGGTTGTGCGCACATGTACATCAGTTCTGTGCCGTCTCTCCCCACCGTCCCCCTTCCCTCTGGCTCGTCAGTCTTCCCTGCTCTCGTGTCTCCGGATCTGTTTTGTTCCTGAGATTCCACAGAGGAGTGAGATCGGGTGACACTTGTCTTTCTCTGACTGGGTTAATTCACTGAGCATATAGAAGTTCCTAGTTTACTTCACGAGGAAAACTTTTAATACAGAAATGGTAACTTCTAAAAAAAAAGTATTAAGTAGGCCATCTTGTTTCCTTTGCTTTCCCCCTGGTAGAAACAGTGTTTTTGATTTTTTGTAATTGCTTTGTTTTTCAGTTCAGTTTTCATTCGGTGTTCCTTTGTGTCACGTTCAGGTGTGCAGCACAGTGGTCAGGTGACCCCGTACTTCACAGAGTGTGCTCCCAATACGTTTGCTGTCCAGCTGGCACCGTGCATAGTTAATACAAAGCTAAGAGTTTGTAATTTTTTTTTTTTCTTTTTTTTTTTTTTAAATCCTCATCCGAGGACATTTTTCCATTTTTTGTATAGACAGTGTGGGAGGGAGAGAGAGGAAGAGAGAGAGAGGGAAACATCGATGTGAAAGGGACACATCGAGTGGTCGCCACCCGCACGACCAACCAGGGCAGAATTTGTAATTTTTTTTAATTGACTTTTTAGAGAGGGGGAAGGGGGGAGAGAGAGAAACATGGATGTGAGAGAACATCAATCGGCCGCCTCCTGCACGCTCCCAGTGGGGCTCCGGCCCACAACCGGGGCACGTGCCCTGACCAGGAGTTAGCTGAGACCTCTCAGTCCCCGGGACTGCCCAGTCCACTGAGCCACACTGCCAGGCACAAAGCTAAGCATTTTAAAATACTTTTTAATTGATTAGTAAATAAATGATGAGGCCTTTTTATCTGACAGAATTTTTCAAATGAAGGGTGAGTCAATATGATGTTAGAAATTTAATCTACTTAAAACGTCTGATTGATTTTCCTGGTGGTTTCCCTGGTTTCCCAGGCGGTGGAGCCGACCGGCAAGCGGTTCCTGCTGGCTGTTGACGTCAGTGCTTCCATGAGCCAGAGGGTGCTGGGCAGCGTGCTCACCGCCAGCACGGTCGCCGCCGCCATGTGCATGGTGAGGACACGGCGTGGACAGCCTGCCCGCAAAAGGGTCACTGTGGGGCCGACTGGACACTTGGCAGTGATCGCGAGTTAGGTTTCACTTGTTGCTGTCAATCTGGCATATTTGCCACATTTTTATTTTAAATAAATATTTCATATAAACAAAACTTTATAGTATATGTATATATACATACTTGGGTATACCTATCTAGTTACATCTGCTCTTGTACTTAAAGGTAATGACAGTATTATAGACGTATTGAAAAAGCATATCTGAAGAATAGTCAGAATAGAAATTTTAATTTTACTACTAAAGATCAAATGTTTTTGAGGCAGTAGACAATGTTTAGAGACATTATTAATGAATATGGACGTTCAAAGATCAGGACCTCGTAACAATACTCAGGAGACTTCGGTTTCAGTCTGCCTGTCGCTAGACAGCTAGTCCATGAACCGTACGGTAGCTTGTAATTTCTCTCCTGTGGCTTTATTTCTGTTTAATAAAATGAGGAGGATATAGACTTTGCATCGAGGATTGCTGTGAAAGCATTTCTTTGTCAGTCTGAAAGGGCTTTGAAAGCTCTCCTACTGTTACTCTAGTCCAGGCACATGGGCGTCTAGAAATAAGATAGGCATCCTGGTGTTTCCTTTAAAGATGAAGTTTTGTGAGCTTCAAGTACTGTATTTATTTCTCTCAAATCTGCTGAAAATTACTACCATTGAATTTTTCAGGTTGTCACACGAACAGAAAAAGATTCTTATATAGTTGCTTTTTCAGATGAAATGGTACGATGTCCAGTAACTACAGATATGACTTTACCACAGGTGTTAATGGCTATGAATCAGGTAAAACTATTTTATAAGTTTACTTAATGTATATTGTATAATAACTGTGTTACTGATGTTATGCCTGATATTAACACATTTGTGAGAAATTGTTTTATCTTAATTTTCCCATGAGCATCACATATCTTCACAGGCTTTGGGAAAACCTATGTATTGGCTCTGAACTCAGTGATAATCGATGATAATGTAAAGATAGGGCTTTCAAGTAGTTCATTTCACACGCACTATTATAGAAGCTGTCTTTTATTCTCACTCGGTTTCCGTTCTCGGTTAGATCCCAGCAGGTGGAACTGATTGCTCTCTTCCGATGATCTGGGCTCAGAAGACAAACACAGCTGCCGATGTCTTCATTGTCTTCACGGATAATGAGACCTTTGCTGGAAATGTCCACCCTGCTGTCGCTCTGAGGCAGTATCGAAAGGTAAACAAATTCTCATATTCTTTCCTACCGCAATAAGACTCAGTTCTCAAACATTCACTGTTTTCCCAAACAGAAGGTACTGAAGATATGCATGCCAGTAGTGTACTCAGCAGTACTTGAAATGAGCAAGTATTGGCTACACATACGTATTTCCACCAGTTCCAGTTCTCTACATTCTTTTATGCATGGTATTTTTATAATATCAGAACATTTAGTTTACCTTAACTATAAATTTTTTTTTTTATCCTCACCCGAGGACATTTTTTGATATTTTGTTCAGATAGAGTGGGAGGGAGAGAGAGAGAGAAACATCGGTGTGAAGGGACACATCGAGTGGCTGCCACCTGCACAGCCCAACCGGAGCCGGGGACACACTGTAACTGAGGTACGTGCCCTTAGCGGGAACCGAACCCGGGTCTCTCGGGACCACCGGCCGACGCTCTAACCACTGAGCCAAACTGGCCAGGGCTTAACTATATATTTTTTAATGATTCACTGTGTTCCTTGAAAAATTAAAGTATCATTTGTGAGCTTCATTAAAGGACTGTCTAAAGTTAAATCAAAGCTAAACTCTGTGTGTAAGTTACATGGATATGTCTGTGTTGTGATGACTGCCCTCCAGCCACGCTCTTCTGTGTCCACACTTCCAGTGTGGCAGCCGCTAAGCATGTGGGCTGTTGAGCTCATGAGGTGTAGCGAGTGTGGCTGGCAGTGGAGATGGAACTCAGTGACAGCATTGGTTCTCCAAACGCGGTTTCCCTACCAGCGTTACCTGCCCCTGACTAGAAATGCAGATTCCGGGACCCCATGGGAGACCCGCTGAATCAGAAACCCTGGCGGGACTGTGCTCTACAAGCTTCTAAGTTTCAGACCAACAAGTGAGAGAAGAGAACTTGGAGTCTGTTCCAAGTCCTGGGTCTTTCTCCTTTACTGACTGTGGACCCGAGCAGATTATTGAGCTGATATATGTTATAGTAGTTAAAAGTACCACTTACCTTTAGGCTTGTTACACATTACATCAGGTCAATCCCTTAAAGAGGCCACCATAGTGTCTGACATTCTACATGCTCAGTGACAGTCAGCTTATCTCAAAAACTCAACTATTTTAACAAATCATAGCTATAAAGAACCAATTCTTACATGTGAAATGTATGTATTATATGTAACAGAGTTAATAATCCTGGGGGAATAGTTTCTTCCATTTATTCCAGCCCCGTGCATGCTGCCTAGTGTTCGATATGCTAGTGAAAGTATCTAACTAATGCCCTGAGTGTCCTGGCAGGTTTGGTAAGTGCAGAGCCCCAGGCTGCCCGCAGAACAAGTAACAGGACAGAGAAGAGGAGTTTCAGGCGAGCTGTTTACAACATTTTTTCTAGTCTTGAGGATCACAGTCTAGCCCTGACAGATTGATACATTTTATGTAGACGGGGCAAAAATTGAACTTTGTTATGAAAAGCTGTGATCATATTGAAAGTGTTTTTATTTTGGAGGTTTGCTTTTGCTTTCATATAATTTTTTTAACATGTCTTTTGATCTTTACCTACAGAAAATGAACATTCCGGCTAAGTTGATTGTTTGTGGAATGACATCAAATGGTTTCACCATTGCAGACCCAGATGACAGAGGCATGTTGGACATATGTGGTTTTGACACTGGAGCTCTGGATGTAATTCGCAATTTCACCCTGGATGTGATTTAAGCATAAGCACCCGCATGATCCAAGCGGTTTGTTGCATTAGTGATCTCGCTAAAAACACACAGCTACTTCCCAGCTAATCTTAATCCAGCGAAAGATAAGATGATGGCATAGTCTGTGTATAATGAACGTTTACCAAAAAAACACAAAAACGGGGAGGAAAAATAAGATAAGCCCAAAGTTACTTCTGGGAAATAGCTTCTGAATACACTGTAGCTCCCTCTAAGAGAGAAAACTTCTTGTCCACAGACACTGTAAATTAGTCACACAGTCTTGATTTGGTAAAGAATCACATTTGTATTTTAAAGAAGAGCCAAACTTGTAAGTAGTTCCATATCATGGCAGTTGTTTGGAAAGTGCTTACGTTTTCCTAACTTTCCATTGGGAAAGGACAGCTTCGGCGATGTCCGCAGACTCTGAAATGCACTGGACCATGTAACTGTGATGGTGCGTAAAACCTACCGCACACTTTTGTACCGGGGGCACGCGGCAACCCAAAACAGCTGACTACATGATGAATGAGTTTTACAAATCCTTTTAAGAGTTTTCTAAGATCGCATAAAGAGCAGCTTTCTTACTCAGTAAAAAAATATTTTGTCTTAATATTTTATTTACACTTGTAGAATTGTTACCATTAACTGGAAACAGTAGGAAGGAAGCCCCAGGAAGGGGACTTGGTTTGTGTCAGGGGAGGAAGTTTCTGGAGTGTCTTGTTTTGGTGCATGTTATTGCTGTGGGTTGAGGGCATGACTTGTCAGTTTCCTCCGAGTCACAACCGCATAGCTGCGCACAGTCATACTTCATTTTCATACTCTCAAATGAAAATAGCATAAAAGGTTTCAAGCGTTTAACTCCCCCACTCATAATATGAAATCGACAGAATCTCAACTACAATCGGATTAGTTTTTTCTTGACTGTAAAATAAATACTGTTCTAATTACTTTTAACTACTTTTTAGCTAATTGTACATGGGTTTTAGGTATTTTCTAATTGTGAACATGTCAATGGCCTATTTCTTTGTTCATTATTCATTGTGACAAATTCTTTTTTGATAGAGTAAAAGTAAAACAATAAAGCAAGCTAGGTCTTGCAGGTTTGGAAGGCAACTTTTGAGTAGCATTTACCACTAACCAGTCTGTAAGAAAGTATTTTTTTCTATTTTATTTGTGTATATTAAACTTTTTTTCATTAAGCTAAGGTGCATTATTTTCTTAAGCAAATACCCGTTTGTGGGGAGGTTTAACCTGTTTAAATGCCAGTAACTTTCCTTATAATTATATCATGGTTGTCTAAGCTCACACACACAAAACTTCAATTTTTATGTGTTCTTTAAATAGCAATTGAGGACTTACGGGGTTTTTATAAATCCCTATGTGCTTGGGGTTTAGAGGTTTTCTGTTTTGGGGGTTAGGGAGCCTTGAGTGGTGTTAGGATTTGTGTAGATGATATTTTCTGCTTCATGGGAGACTTGGGCTGCGGGAGCGACAGGAAATGTTCCTTTCGAGCTTTTTGACAGAGTGACGCCCTCCCTGCTGCGCAGGTGACGCCCTCTCTGCTGCGCAGGCTCCCGGGCAGCTCTCAGCCGCTTGCCCGCGTGATGTGCCCGAGAGCACCCCACACACCCCAAAACACGTAGCCTTTGATGTCGTTTCTCTTTTAATCTATCAGACATTGCATTTATCATTTTAACTTTTATGTTCAGAATGAATTTGAAGTTTAAAGAACCTAATAGAATTTGTGTTATAGTTCTGGAATTCTTTGAGTAAACCCAAGATCATAAAAATTTAAAAATCATAAAATGATACCACTTTTTATTCCTAATTGAAATGAGATATAGGATAAAAGTGTATTTAGACTGATATATTCATGAGCTGATAATAAATCCATCAGAAAAATAAGATTAGATGTGAACTTTTTGAAGTAGTTAAAGAAGAATGAAATGGATTAGGGTACAATTTTTAAAAAGGGGGGAAAAAAACTAAAAGGAACCACCCAGAAGGTAACTTTATTTTCAAATGTCCTGGAATTTTTGAGCTGGAACAAACCTTAGAAATGTAAAAAAGTGATTATTTTTTATTTAGGTTAGGGAGCTGGGGTCCGAGAAAGTGGGGCTTTGGAGCATTAGATTTGGAATCTCCCTTTTCATTCCAGGCTTCATGTCCCCACAAATGGGGAAACACTGACTCACCAGAGTAGGGGAGAAAATAGAATTATTCAAGAGTTTTATCTTTCACATATTAGGACATAATGTATATAAATGATTGCGGGAGGAGTAGGAAAACAAATGGGAAATGCAGACTTTCGTAGTTCATAGTAATTCTCAAGCACAATTAATGTTTTAATAACCTTTATTGCTATATCATATAGTCCTATAGAAAAATAAACACTTCACCTCATTATGAGTAAAATGTACTCAAGTGGTAAGTCTTATTTTCTAAATTACTCTTAGGATCACTGCTACATTATTTAGAAAAATGTGGCTTAAAACAATCTTAAGAAAAATTAATAAACTTTATTTCCTAGAAAATATGTAAATATTTTCAGGATGTTGTAATTAGTAAAACAAAAACTGTTAAAATCCTACCCTTCCTTGTTGAAATTTAGTTTATTTGTTATCTAGTTGAGTGACTATGTTGTTGAGAAAGATGCTAGTGAATGGAATTCAGTGTTACCCACCTGGAAACTCTAAAGCCCAATTTAACAACTATTCAATTTTGCTATTTTTACAACGTAACATGTGTAGTGCTTAGATAATAGGAAAATCAGTAACTGACTATCTGTATAAAAGGTTAAATTGGGAGGAGGGCTTTCAATACAAGTTAGAACTTAATAGAATATGTATTTTGAAAGACAAAATGTTCTAGGAAAATAGCTCAATAGACACGTTAATTTTTAAAATGCTCCTGAGTGGGAAAATGAAGAAAATTTTCACAGTGAAGATGAGGATTGACTAAGAAGACACTATTCTCTGATCAAGAGGAAGAAGGAACATATTCCAAGCCCAACAACCCCCTAGATGGACCTAGAAACACAAACTCATGCTTTAAATGAGGAGATGCTATCAGCAAACATTTGCTTAATTTTTTAAAATAACAGGGCAGCCCAGCCAATGCTCAGTGTTTGAGCATCGACCCATGCACCAAGAGGTCACACCGGTTGGATCCCCGGTCAGGTTATCTGCCCTGTCCCCAGTGGGGGGCGTGCAGGAGGCGGCTGGTCGATGTTCACTCTCATCAATTATCTCTCCCTCCCTCTCTCTAAAAATTAAGGGAAAAAAACTTTAAAATAAAAGGGCAATTACAAATCATAGAATACCATTTTGCCAACCGTTTTCTTTCTCATTTTCCGAGATTTTTGCAAAAACTAAAATTATTTTGGAAATTTAAGGCAGAATTTCTAAGTAAATTTGAGGATCTGACAAGGGAGAAACATCTTTAAAAGCACAATAAAGCCATATCTAAACAATAAAGGGAAATCATTGTGATCACTTACTGGGTCAAATTAAAAATAAGGTCTTATTTTAATTCTCACCTGAGGATATTATTCCATTTTTGTTCAGATAGAGTGGGAGGGAGAGAGGAAGAGAGAGAAACATTGACATGAGAGCGACACATTGACTGGTTGCCTCCCGCACAACCTCAACCAGGGCCTGGGACAAATCGCAACCAAGGTATGTGCCCTTGGCTGGCATTGAACCTGCGACTCATTGTTCCCCAGGCCGATGCTCTCACCGCTGAGCCAAACCAGCCTGGGCATAAGGTCTTAATTTAATTGGACCTAGAGACTGTACCCACAAGTACACATTTCTTGATAAGTGATATTCTTACCGTAAGTAAGCAAAACTGAAAAATTCTACTCTTGTATATCACAGGTTTGGATTGACTTATTAAGGCAATATCCTCTCTAGAGAATGTCATATAGCCTCAATATAAATATGCACAAGGAACAATTAGGGAAAAAAGATGCTAAGCTACGGAATTTGTTGCACTTACTGTCTGGATTTCATTTATTATTTCCCTGGTAATTAGCCAATCTGAATTGTTAGAAGACTACTGTTATACCTCTATTTTTCTTTTAAAACTTGTGGAATTTTTGTGGTTTCTTTAGTTATGCTTTGCCTGGGTAATACAATGAAGGATAGGAAAGTCACTCATTTTTAGGTTTGGGATAAATCTTGCAGATTGCTTTTTGTTTCATATAGGTTGAAGATCATATATTTTTCAAATTAATGATGGGCAGGCCTCTTGGAACAATATATTGATAAATTCTCTCCCCAAATCAACCTATGTTGTATATCTTTTGTATTAGATATTTGCATATATTTTATGGCCTTTGAGTAAGATCAGTTATTAAGCCTTTGTAACTATAGATGTACCTAACTCAAGAAAGCACTCTTTGAAAAATAAGTAACTGAATACTCTCAGAAAATAGTATTTCAGTCCTCATATTTGCATAGTTATAAAGACCACTGTCAAAATCTTTGGTCTACTAAGTACTTCATACATGGCTTGTAGCATAAAAGGTCTTGTAAATAGCATGTATTCACCATCAACATTTTTTTTTAAATTGGTGAACTTTTTATTTGCTTTTGAAAAAGTATTATGAAATTAACTTTTAAAATAATCCTGTGGTAATACTTTTCAAAAACTAATATGGGCAAGCATACTGTTTGAATGAATTTACATATTTTCCCAAACCTTGAAAATACCAAATGATATTGGGAATTGGTAGAAAGAACCATAAACTAGAGGAGTTATGTTACAAAATTCAATTAATGAAGTTAAGGTGATAATTTTCCATCAGAATGAATTTTGTAAATAGAATGAAAATGTATAAACGCTTTTTCTGGACCTAAAGCAATTTTTCCCTTTGCTCTGTTCAGCACCACCACGTGTCATATTAACCTTAAATATACGTGATAATATTTAATTTAAAAATATATTTAAATTTCATCACTTTTAGTACTTTTAGAAGTTATCAGAATCTGTGCTTGCACAAAGGAAATAGTAAGTTAGCTCTGTGTTACTGGGTTTGCTTAATGAACACTTGGGTTATTAAGGGTAGTGACTGAGGTTAAAGGCTTGCTATTTTATATACCATTGCCACATAATTGACAGATATTGTATCAATACAAACATTGAATGGAAACTTCTGTTTAAATTACTTGTTAGGCTTTGTTTGCAATGGAAACTCTTACCAGCCAAATTAAAGTTTAAATACACATTTGATGAATAGTGACCAAGAAAAAATATTTTTGTGGCACTATTCTAAATATGGACTATTTCATATAGTGTGACTAGACATCACTTTTATAGTGCATTTGAATTATATTTTTGTCCTTTTATTGCCGGCTTCTGATAGTGAAGAAATTGTCCAAAGGGATGAGACATATAGGAAAGCGTTTTTGTTTTGTTTTCTTTTTTGGTACGCGCCCTTAGCGGGAACCGAACCCGGGACTCTGGTCCGCAGGCCGACGCTCCAACCACTGAGCCAAACCGGCCAGGGCTATAAAAGCATTCTTTAATTGGTTCGGGGAGAGGTGTTATCTAGTTCTAAATGTGCAGTTGCTTTATATAAAGGCTTTGATTTCCATAATTGACCATTTGAGAAATATTTACACAGACCGATGTCTGCATAGCGTAAAATTGAATAAGTATGCAAGAGCCGTCAAGTGAAAAACACGCTCTCTGACTGCCTTAAAGCGACTGACCGGCTCCCCCACACAGGTGTGCCGGTCCTTTCCACAGAGTGTGTTCGTGAAGTAATGCCTTCATGGTCTGCAGGACAGGCCTCAAAGGGTCTTCCAGAGATTTCACCTTTATGTAATGATTGGGAATTCAACTGTGAAGTTTTAAAACCTGATTGTGCATTAGTAGTTGAAGCACCCATCAACAGGGTGATCTGGGACATTGACGTGTAATACGTACACGACTGTCAACATCAGTAACACTTTGTGGTAGTTTGAGGTTTTTTATAGTTTTATATAACGAATGATCCCAGAGTCTGGACTTTATGTAACATCTCTAAGGACCAAGTTACATATTTAAATACTGAATGAAAAATACAATTCTACAGTTCCAAAAGTGGTTCGTTTTTAAGGGAACTTTTCAAGACAAAAGAAAAGTATTTTGAGCCTACAAGCAAATTTCACTCAGAAGAGTGAACGTAGTTGTAAAAGCATTGCAATTGTTTTCAATACAAAGCATCCAGGCCAGTGATTGCTTTCATTACCTTCATATTTTTACAGTGACTTTGCCTTTCAAAGAGGGAATCCTATAAAATGGAAAGAAAACTTTTAAATTGTCGAGCTGGTGCTTAAAAGTATAAAATTATCATTTATAACAACTGTCATTTTAAAGGATAGAACCCTGAAGGAGGGAAGGGGAGGTCCTAGGTCTGTTGATAAACTCACCGATGCTTTGTGGAGTCTTCCAAGTTTTCAGTGTAAATAAAATACCTAACAATGTAATTTCACTGTTTTCTGATAGAAAATGGAGGAAATACTAATGTATTAAATTTATTTCATGATAAAACAGATTTTACCCATACTGTGAAATCTTGACTTTCTATCCTTCAAAATACCATACTGAAAAAATCATTTTAGACATGGAATGCAGGTGGGCACTAATGGGAGCTGTTGCTGGTCAATTGTATTATTGTAGAAGCTGATAGAAGTACCAAATAAAGTCTATGCACTTCAAATAATTGTCTTTGTGTTTCTTTAAAGAAATAAGAATTTTAAGGTTATAATACACCTTATAAAATCTAAGACTCTTAGTAATCTGTGATATTTGAATAAGATGAAAATAAGGTTTTGATAACATTGGCCTTACAGTGCCTTATTATATACTATTATATATAACTATTTATTTAAAACATGAAATCCAATGGATTTCGATTATAGGATCGAAACTACTGGATTTAATCGAAATGCACATTAAGACTTTTAACACAGAATTTCTGTCTGTGTGAAAAAATCTACTCAAAGTTGCCTTTGGGAAAACTTAACACCAAAAGTCAACTATGCAAATAAATACTGAATGAAAAATACAATTGGTTTCAGTACCAATTTTCAGAAATTTCTTTTGTATCTGAAATCCCATAAAATTTTTCTGAAACCTTGTAAGATTGGTGCTGGAAGTTAGAAGGCTTAGATCAAATTACATCAGAATATACCCACCCAAACTCTGAACATTTAGTTGATTTTATAGTTCTCTATTTAAAGATGACAGTCAACAGTTGTGTGGAGAAAAGAAGATAGCAAACCATACGTTTCTTCATAGATGATGAAAACTACTCAAAATGTTTTAACAATATTAAACCTAATGAAGAAAACGACTTTAAAAGTATTGCTTACATGGTGTCATTTAGAATATATGTTAGAACACAATAAAATCCAGACACATTTAAACCAGACACTTTTTTCCCCCAACAGATTTCCAGCTTCCCAATTAAATATTTGGCACTTTATAAATTGATTAGTGACAAAATGAGAAAGCAAATGGCCCATTTCTTTAAATATTAATGGGCTCCAGTCAACAGTTTATCTTTCAGATCTTAACATTAAAAAGAAAAGAGGACTGATAAAGTAAATGGCATTTTTCATAAACTGGTCATTCTCTTTCTAGCCTGTGGTTCTGAAAAATAAAAGCAGCTGCTGGAACCATTCATACCTAGTTTCTTTCTTAGATACTGTTCTTTTATCGGACTGTAAGGTAAGGTGTTATGGACTGAAGGTGTCTCCCCAGAAATGTTTGTGTTGAAACCCTTCCCCCCAGGGTGTGGTATTTGAAGACAAGGGGTTTGGGGAGGTCATTCGATCCTATCCCTGCTGATGGGTTGGTGCCTCCTTAAGTAGGAGCTTGTTTGCTCTGTCTGCCCTCCGCCTGGTGAGGAGACAGACAGCAAGACCACAGCCATCTGCTGAGCAGGAAGAGGGCCCTCAGCAAGAACCAAGTTAGCCGGGACCTTGATCTCGGACTTCCCAGCCTCCAGAGATGTAAGAAATAAATGTTCGTTGTGTACACCATCCCGTTCATGTAACTTACTATCACAGCCGAGCAAAGACATGGGAAGGGAGGAGAAGGGAAGTCACCCATAAAATCGTAGCTGGGACCTGGGAAAACCCCGGTGGGTCCACAGTAAAACCACACGACACCCCCTGCACCCTCAGCTGCAGTTTCAGTCACCTGCGGTGAACGTCCATTGGAAAAGAGTAAATGGAAAATCACGGCCATCACCTATTCGTGCTGTGAACCGACCGGGCGCTGTTAGGGAAGCAAGCTGAGCGCTCAGGTCCTGTTGCTGGGCCCTGCGTCCCCCTGCTGCGCACACTCCGGCCAGCGAGTCATGTGGCAGCCATCGGGACCCTGGGCCTTCTCAGTACGGGGTCCAGCCGCCCTGATGGCCCCCAGAGCAGCAGCAATGACGCTGGCAATTGGGGTTCCCGGCGAGAAGCCGGAAGCGCTGCCCATGCAGACAGACGGGTGCAGCGCAGAGGGCTCACATAGCTCACTCCTGCAACCGGCGGCATTGTCACCACTGTGCACCGTCACGCCTGGCTTGTAAGTTCAGCTAGCACGGTGCGCACGCGTGGGCAAAGCACTGTCCGTCTAGGGGTCCGTGGAGTCGGTAGGAAGAGGCCTTGGGCAGTCCTAGTAGCTCGGGTCCATCTGTGCACCGTTTCGGAAGTTCGTGCTCCTAGAGGCTGCAATGCCTCTTCATTTCTGTGGGACATGAAAGGACGTGACAGGAAAGGACGTTTGTGCAGCAGGGGAAGGGCACAGGGGTCTGACGGGGACTTCGTGGCACGAGGGGACCAGGACACTGCAGACCGACTGGCTACCGTCACATTCCTGGGAGAGGCCAGAGCTGCCATCAGGTTAGGGTTAGGTCTCAGTTTGGTGACTTGAGCTCGTCACAGACGACGTCATTTGGGGCCTGTTGTCCCGTTTTCCACACTGCCCATAGGCACAGCTCTGGTGTTGGGAACTAAGCCCTTAAGTGAGTCATTTGGTTTCTTTGGAAGAAGTTTCCTTCCATGCTACCAGTGTAGTGTACTTCTCTGTCTCCAGTGTGAGGACTCGTCACTATACCGTGCAAGGACACGGCCCTGCCAAGTTCATACCTGATCAGTGAGAGCCTTACGTTTTCTTTTTAATATGTTTTCTTTACTGATTTTTAGAGAGGGAGATGGAGAGAGAGAGAGAAACATCGATGAGAAAGAACATCGATTGGCCCCTCCTGCATGCCCCCCACTGGGGATTTGGCCCACAGCCTGGGCATGTGCCCTGACCGGGAATTGAACTGGCAACCTCTTGGTACATGGGTCATCGCTCAACCATTGAGCCACAGTGGCAGGCTATAGAGAGAAAAAGCCTTACATTTAAAAAATTTTTTTATCCTCACCTGAGGACATTTTTACATTTACCTTCAGACAGAGCAGGAGGGAGAGAAGGAAGAAGAGAGAGAGAGAAACACTGATGTGAGAGAGACACGTCAACTGGCTGCTACCCACGCGACCCCAACCAGGGCCGGGGACAAACTGCAACTGAGGTACATGCCCTTAGCGGGAACCGACCCCTGGACCTTCTGGTCCACAGGCCGACGCTCTAACCGCTGAGCCAGACCAGCCAGGGCGAGCCTTACATTTTAATGACGAAGCGCACATCACTCTTCACCAGTAAAATCTATAAAGGGTAAGGAATTAACTCCTGAACAGAATTCACAATAAAAAATCCCAAATCTGTAAAATTCACATATGAATTGCTAATAAAACCCATTCTTATCCTGAGACGACTCCATTCCTCCAGTTTTAAATATCATCTCTTTTGCTCAAAAATTGGCAAGCAGGAAGGTGAGGTTTCCACAGCGATTTATTGTTCATTATTTTAACAACTCTTTCAGGAAGATTATCCACATATTTAAACATCCTCACATACTATCACTAAAATCCTTGTCACTTTTTTTTAAATAGCACTGATGGACCAGCGGAAGCAACTTCCCTTCTTGGTGAAGCCTATGGGTGTCGGTGGCACCTCCAATAAAAGTCCCATTGACAAATATTCTCGGCACCTGTTGGATAAACGAAAGGTCAGCTATCACCCTGCTGTTAGCAGTAGACCGTTACACACGAGAATGACAGATGCTGCCAGTCTGGGTCCCGTTGTGGGCCGGGCACGACATGAGATGCTAAATAAGCTCTTTCCCAAATTACCTATTTAAATCTTTCTACCCCCAAGTTCGGTAGTTTTTAGTCTTATTTTGGAGGGAGATGAGGCACACGTACTTGCTCAAGATCACAATCAGTAAATGACAAGAGCTGGGATTTAAACCCAGGACCATCGGACTCTCCAGGGCCTTCTGATCACTGGCATGTGTATAAAAGGTAAAATAAAGCAGCCTCTAATAAACAATCTTAAGTGTCTTACAGTTGTTTACTAAAGGGGAAAAAATAGACTACAAACTTCTTCCATGCACGTAGGAAGGAAAGTGGCAACATTGTATATTTTTCTGAGAATGCATCATTTTGGAAAAATCCTTACATTTCAAGGATCTAGGACCATGGAGTGCTAAAGCCCTCCTACTGGAACAGTAACTGAAGACTGACCCCTCGTCTGTACTGTCCAAGTGAGGGAGCTCCAGGAGGACCTGAAAGATTCACACCCCGCTGGTCCAAACACACACACACACACATGCACACGCACACGCACACACATGCACACGGCAAGAAAAAGAAAATGAACTCTGCGTTTCCTAGTCTATGGACCTGGTTCCCGGATCTATAGTTTCTTTATTGGTGTAAGAGTCTCAGGGAATGTCTGGGTCCCGGGTCCTGGCACGAGGTGACGCCCAGGTCCCCGCCTGCGGGGAAAAGCAGCACAGAGCAGACTCACGGTCCTCTCGCCGGTCATCCTGTGCAGCGCGTCCTGGAACTGGCTGCCACATTCGAGCGTGTCCAGCTCCACGGCCGTGTAGTCCACGTTCATGTCCCGGAACAGCTTTTTCGCCATCGTACAGTAGGAACAAGACGTCTTGGAGAAGATCACCACGCAGTTGTCAGAAATGGTTTCCTGAAGTAAAGCAGCCCCCCCCCCCAAATCATTTTAATGCCAGATATCCCCTTTTGGAAGGAAAGAAATGATACGGCGAAAAGGGTACGAATGTGGGGGTCTCACAACTGATTCAAGGCTCAGACTAAGTCTCCAGGACCTATTTTCTCTTCTGTAGCTTGAGGGGAATGTTATGCATTTCAAAGGAACACTGAGGAAAAAGGGGACACGGGTCGGCCGGAGTGGCTCAGGGGTTGAGTGTAGACCCTGCACCAAGAGGTTGCTGATTTGATTCCCAGTCAGGGCACATGCCCAGGTTGTGGGCCAAATCCCCAGTGGGGGGCATGCAGGAGGCGGCCAATCGATGTTCTCTCTCATCCATGTTTCTCCCTCTCTCTCCCACTCTATCTGATGATAAATGGAAAAAAGTATCCTCGAGTGAGGATTAAAAAAAAAAATCTATGAATGAATAAAGAAGTGGAACAACAAATCGATGTTTCTCTTTGTCTCTTTCATTCCCAAATTACTATATATTGTTTTCAACAAAGAGGCAATTCCTTCCCAGTAGGTTTCTGGCATTGCTGTTACATCAACAGCTGTGAATGAATACTGTTGTAGCCAACTAAGTTACAGGCAGAATGTTATGTATGCAGTAGTGGTTGGTGGTGAGGGACAGAGAAAGACAAACACAACTGTCTCGTAGGTTGCAAGCGAAGAAAAACACACAGACCAGAGGAATTTTCCAAGGGAGGATGAACTGGACTTGGCTGAACACAGCAGTGCACAGTATCCCTGTGACGTTTGTTACTAGGGTGACTACCACATACGAGGCTCTGTGTCGGGGAGAAAGCTGTTCTCCAGCTTCCCAGGCCCACATCAAACAGAACCCCTGGCTAAAGGCTGCCTGACCGGGGGTGGGTATGATGGAGAGAGCAGCCAGCCCAGACCCAGCGTGCAGGGAGTGAAGTCCCCATTGAGAAAGAGGCTCAGCAACTTTGACGACCGAAATGCTCTAGAACTTTTCTGTCTCATAGATTATTTTGATAGCAGATTTGAAAATATACGTATGAATGTACTAATTCACTTGTTGAACTATGTCAAGTTTGGATACTGAAGAAGCATCTTCAATGTGAGGACACAATTGTTCCACCCGGGATCGTTTTCACCCCGTCTCCCACTCACTCACTTGGATCTGAGTCACAGGAGCAGCGGCCGGTTTCCCCAGAGACGATGACATGCTGTTCCCCATCCTGCAAGGAATTGTTCAAGGATCACAGTTTACTAAACAGGAAAGGTTTACAGCGCTGAGAGGCATTTGAGGAAGACCTAATATGCAAGTATATATCCAAACTTACAAAATAGAAGAAAAAAGTTTCACTTATTACCAGTACAAAATATCGATTTATTGGTTTACTAAAACCAAAAGGGCCAGTGTGCTTCTCTAATTAGCCCCCTCATGCCCTCAATTATTTGATAAAACAGAATTTACTGGGTTAAACCCTGGCACTGAATTTCAGAAAGACTGTCCTAACGATTGGCCCATGGCCTGACTGTTGGTTAAAAAATACATTTTCCTTTTTTTTTTTTTTTATCCTCACCCGAGGATATTTTTCCATTTTTTGTACAGATAGAGTGGGAGGGGGAGAGAGGAAGGGAGAGAGAGAGAAACATCAACATGAAGGGACACATCGAGTGGCTGCCACCAGCACAACCAACCAGGGCCGGGGACCAACTGCAACCGAAGTACATGCCCTTAGCGGGAACCGAACCCGGGTCTCTCCGGACCACAGGCCGACGCTCTAACCGCTGAGCCAAACTGGCCAGGGCCATTTTCGATTTTTTAATTAAAACATGCCAAAAGTCCATGGACACTTTGTGAAACAGAGAATCTACAAAGATTCAGATTTTACAGATACTGAATTATAATGTTGTACACCTGAAAAATATGTAATGTGTTAACTAGTGTCACCTAAATAAATTTAATTTTAAAAAATAAAATACCTTTAAAAGTAAAAAAAATAAATAAATAAGGGCACCCTGACTGGTTTGGCTCAGCAGTTAGAGCATCGGCCCATGGACTGATGAATCATGGATTTGGTTCCAGTCAAGAGCATGTACCTCGGTTGCAGTTCGTCCCGGCCCTATTTGGGTCATGCAGAAGGCAAGTAGTCCATGTGTCTCTCTCACATCAGTATTTCCCTCTCCCTCCCTCCCTCCTTCTCTCCCTCCCTCTCTCTATCCCCTTCCCACTCCATCTGATGATAAACAGAAAAATATCCTCAGGTGAGAATTAAAAAAAAAAAAAAAAAAAGAATCAGCCAATGAATGCATAAATAAGTGAAACAACAAACCAATCCTTTTCTCTCTCTCTCAAAAAAAAAAATTGATAAATTATATTGTTTCTTGCTTCTCCAAAGTTTAGCAAGAAAACCTTTAAAACCAAAGGGCCTGTGTTTGTATCTCAGAGAGAGGTTAGGAGACGCAAGTTAGGGAGACTGCAGCCGACTTAGCAGAGGGCATAGTTTTAAAAAAAAGCCAGAAGGGAAAGGAGGTTAATCGGTGCTGGCCTGGACCTAAGAAGGTGCCTTAGTGGAATCAATCAGCAATCTATTTGGTTTATTAACTAAGAAAATAAGTCCTTTTCAGGTCCAGCATTTATTCATGATCCCTACACCATCTACTACTATCTTCGCGATAGAAGCAGGAGTTCCAGTGGAAATATCACTCCCTTCCCTGCCAGATAAAAGAGAAAGTTTGGGGAAGGGACCTTCCTCCTTGTTCTAGTCGAGCTCCCAAAAGTTATCACCTATCAAAGAAAGGGGCAGAAGGGGAGAAGTGCACAATAACGTTTCACTTCAACACAGAGAAGCAGCCTAGTCGTGCCACCTGCATGGAGCGCTGAAGCGCCTACTACGTGCCAAGTAGGCCAAATGCTAAATGCCCAAGGGATACATATATAGTCGGAAAAACACATCTTAGGGGCCTCAAGGAGGTGTCGGTCACATAGTTACAGCAGGTGAGCAGCACCTTTCTAGGTTAGCATAGAAAGTTCAAGCGTTCCCAGTCTTGCAAACCCGGTCCAAGGTACCGGATGGAATGGGTAGGAAGAGATCCCGGGCGGGTGGGGAGAGACAGAGGCCGCGCAGATGCGCAGCCGGCAGGGCAGCCAGGGCCGTGCGGGCGGGCCAAGGCGGGGGAAGCCCCGTCCCCGGGGCAGTCGGGGGCGACCCCACAGGCATGTCACTGTCCCTATCCTCCAAGACGCGGCCACTCGGCAGGAAGCGCCCCTCCACTTCCTGCAGCGTGAGCAAGCGAGCATGCAGAGCGCACCACTGCCCGAGGAGTTCAGATACACAGCCAAGAACCGTCTGGGCTCGGGCGGTCCCGTGCAATATGCGGGACACACTTCAACAGTTATTCGCTCTCTGGAACCCCAAATTACTAGGGCATCTTGTATTTTATCTGGCAGCCGTGGGGGGTTGGGTTGTCCAAGCGGACCCGACTCAAGTATTTTCAGCCGGAGTCACAGGGCCCTTCAGTGGCGCAGGGCACCATCCTCTGCACCCCTCGGGGCCCGAAGAAATGGGACTCAGGGCCCAGGTGGCGCCGAGGCGTGAGGTCTCCGCGCCCGGCCGAGCCCGCCCTGCCCGCCTGGCCAGGCGCGTCCCGTACCTCGCGGCCGCCGAGCCGCTCCCGCTCCGGGCGACCCGCGTCCCCGCAAGCACCGCGCGGCGCCAGACCATGGTCCGAGCGCTGGGCCGCGGCGACCGAGGAGACACGGGAAACCGCGGCCCGGGGAAGCCCGCCTCCCGCGGCAGGCTCCGCCCCCGCCGTCCGACCACGCCCCCGCGCGCAAGGTCCCGCCCACGCACGCTCGGTCACGCCTCCGGCGGCAGGCCCCGCCTCCGCACTCCCGGCCCCACCCCTCCGGGCTGCCCGCGCCGCCGCAGGTGTTAAGGGCGTGGTCTGCAGGCTCCTTCTTACCCAGTGGCCAGCGTCCGGCGGTGCGGGAGCGCGGAGCCCAGGCGAGTCCCTTCCACGTGTACACAGCCGCCCGGTTGTCCGCCAGCGTCTCACCTTTTGGTCTCCAGGTGTTTTCCAAGCCCCGCACCTGTTTCTCCCAGGGTTAGGGACGCTCACAAAGGCTCACAGGCACTTGGGGACGGTGCATGGGATAGTGACCAATATTCTGGCGTGGGTGAGAGGAATAATGACTGTCCCACACAGTCCAAGTGCCTGGGATGTTTACCTAAGGCTGACAGCGTCATCACAGCTTCCTGTCCAACAGGTCTTTGTGTTGGTGAAATCAGAGCCTAAATATGCATCTTAAAATAAGGCCATCCATGGGGAACCCATAGCAGTCAAGGGACTGTTGGGTTTTACATTCACTATTAAAAGAAAAAAGGAATTCAATATAGAACGTTAATTCCAAAGATTTCAAAATAAAAGTAGTTATAAAAATTAAAAGAGCGCAGAGGTGTGTCGCCTTGGATTTGAAAATAGGCCAGTCTTCTGATGACAAGAGTGCTACACTGTAGTCATGGTAATAATAGACCTCTGTGCCTCGCTATATAAGATGGGGTGTGTGGGCCTTCGTTTTATTTACTGAGGACATTTAAATCTACTTCCTATGGTATGCCTTAAAATTGTGAATAATGATTAGAACAATCCAGACCTTTTTTGATCCCTCTCGCTCAACTAGGTAAGTTTAAGGTTCATGTTACCAAGTTACAAAATTAGAACTTCTGTTTCTGACCGTTCCTTTTCTACTTTTTCAAGTGGGCTATGTTTCATGACTTCATAAAAGGGTGAAGCTGCGAAAACAGATACCCTAAAAGGTGTATTATTCTTCATAATTCCAAAATTAACTTAAAAATTGAGATGTTATTTATCGTGTTGTGGGGTTTTGTTTTGTTTTTATCAAAGGGTAGCTATTTAGGAAATCTGTGTTCTTTTGGTTTTGAACTCAGTTGTTTTACACATAAAGACCTTTATGAGGTAAAACAATCATGTCATAACTTTAATGTAGATGAGATGACCTATGCTTAAGTACAGAATTCATTGGACAGATTTTTATTTTATTTATTTAAAAAAAATTTTTTTCCTTTATTTATTTTAGAGCGAGAGGAAGTGAGAGGGAAAGAGAGATGGAAACATCAATGAGAGAGAACATTGACTGGCCGCCTCCTGCATGCCCCTCACTGGGGATCAGGCCCACAACCTGGGCAACCTCTTGGTGCATGGGTCGACGCTCAACTACTGAGCCACACTGGCCGGACCAGTTTTTTATTTTTTTACAGCAATTTATTGATTTTAGAGAGAGAGGAAGGAGGGGGGAGAGGAACATCAATTTGTTGTTCTACTTATTTATGCATTCACTGGTTGATTCTTGTATGTGCTCTGACCCGGGATCAAACCCATAACCTCTAACCAACTGAGCTACCCAGCGAGGGCTGGACAGGTTTTTAAAAAGGGATTCCACAATGAAAGTATTTCAGACAAAAATATTTTTGTGCTAAATTGAGTGGTAGCTGCAGGAGTGATGGTTTTTGGTCATAAGTGTGATTTCTACAACAGCACCCTAAGATCTGTGGGAGCTGTTCATTGCCGTGAGTGGTGTGGACATAATGGGGAATGGTCAGTATAGGTAGATAATCTATCGATAAATACAGCCTTATGAATTTTTTTTCATGACTCGACATGGTAATATTTTTTAAATAGACATACTTTTACCCTTTCCCCCCCCAAACTTGTTTTTTTATTGCTTAAATTGGTTTATTCCATGCCTAGGGCTGAAAGCCACTGGGCTCAGTAACTTATGACATCTTGTACTTGAAAGGGCCCTTATGTACGTCCTCTATAGTGGGTCCAACCTATGGACCTTAGCCCTCTGGAAAGATTTGCCAATTCTCCCTCCAAGAAACTTTTTAAAAAAGAGCCCGACTGTGAGCCCTTGAGGGTCAGCTATCGTTTTAGTTTCCTAGGGCTGCTGTGACTAACTGCCATAAAGTGGAAACAGAAATGTATTCTCTCACAGTTCTGGTTGTCAGAAATACAAAACCGACCCTTCTCCAGGCCACTGTCCAGTAGAGCATCTCCCTCCTCTCCCACCTTCTGGCGGCTCCAGGTGTCCCTGGCTTTCTGGACTTGTGGCCACATCTTTCCAGCAGTCTCTGCTTCCATCTTCCCACTGCCTTCTGTCTGTCCCTGGTAAGATAGATTGAGGACCCACCTGGATAATCGAGGATGGTCTCAAGGTCCTTCGCTAAATTTACGTTGGCAAAGACTCAGTTTTCCAAGAAGGTAACATTCACAGGTTCCAGGGATTTGATGGAAATATTTTGGTGGAAGGACCATTTTTTTCCAGCCTATCACATTTTTCAGCCCACATAACCTAAAATGGCCTAGAGAAAGCCAGATAGTGCATTAAAGTCTGTGCCTTTTGTTAAACTTCTGTGCATTTTGCATTACATTCACGTTCTATTTTTTGTTACTGTATTACTTCCTCCTCTCCCATGTCAGTTACTGCCCTGGGCATGGTTTGCAGACAAGGTTCCTGCCTGTAAGAGATAACACTCTATCTTTCCTCCAATTTTGTGAACGTGGCGTGAAACTGTGGTTCATAAAGACGTGTCACATTTTTACTCTGGCATCATTGTTAAGTATCCCCCGTTTGAAAGGTAAGAACAAAGAGACGTGCCCAGGCATTGCCTTAGAGTAGACTGAACAATGTCTCCCCTTTGTGTCCCTCCCCCCAATATACTGTAGCTGTAATTAAAATCACATTAGTTTTAAACCATTACTGAAATGCACTGTAAGCTTTTCGGCACGTTAAAGTGTCTCATTCTGCAAGTACAAGATTATTATTTCAAAGGAAAGCACAGGCAGGACTTACTTTTCCAAACGACTAATTTTCCAGTGCTCTGCCATCAACTGGGTGTTCCGTAATTCCGTTTCCTGCTACCACTACCTGGAGTTAGCACACACCCCACAGGTTCAGGGCTCCGTCCTACAAGTCTGCCTCCATTTTAGACATCAGCCACAAATGGGGTGTCCAAACTACTCACACTTCTGCCTGGCCAAGTACAAAGTTGGGTGATACTATGACCTCCCCTCAGATTCAATAATTTGCTGGAAAAACTCACAAAATTCAGGGAAGTGCTGCACTTAACAAATACAGTTTTATTATGAAGGATGTTAGCTCAGAACAGCCCAATGGAAGAGATGCATGGGGCGAGGTCCGGGGAGGTTGGGTGCAGAGCTTCCATACTCTCTCCGGGAACACCCCTCTTATGGTTCACCAACCAGAAGCTCCCTCCAAACCTTGTCATTCAAGAGTTTTCATCAAAGTTTCATTTCATAGGCGTGGTTGATTACATCAGTAAAGAGAACTCACTTTCCAGCCTCCTTCTTCACTTGAGGTGTTTCAGGGCTGTGTGGGGTGTTGGAAGCCCCACAGCCAACCCCTCCTTTAAACTAAAGGAGGACCCTCATTAACATAAACTCAGGTACACCAGAAGGGGCTTGCGGATGACAGAAGACTTCAACCACTCAGTAAACTCCAAGAGTTTTAGGAGCTCTGTGCCAGGAACCAAACCAGGAGCAAAAACCAAATAACATCCAAGGTGTCCACAGATTGTTACATTTTGACAATGAAATGTATTTTAATAAACACTGGCTTCAAAATTACACTTTTACGGGGTGTCCCCCCAAAATGTATACACACAATTGTAGTTTCTATTACACTTGTGCACGCTGAGGTTTAGTGACATGTCTAAATGGTCCCAGTCTGAGTGTGGGTGTGAGTGAACTAATAGTGAGCGATACATAGAGTTAAGAAAGGTAAATAAAAACAAGAGCCCAGCTGGTGTGCCTCGGTGGTTTGAGCGTCCTCCCGTGCACTGAGAGGTCCCGGTTCAATTCCCCATCCCGGCACATGCCTGGGTTGTGGGCTTGATCTCCAGTAGGGTGTGTACAGAAGGCAGCTGATCAATGTCTCACATCAATATTTCTCTCTCTCCTTTCCTCTAAAAAATCAATAAAAAAATAGTTTTAAAAAAGGAAAAAACAAAAACAAATGGGAGCTTTATTTTCCAACTTGTTTATTCCAGGTCAGAGTCGAGGTGGCCAGAGCCTCTTCCTGCAGCTGAGGGTGCCAGGTGGGACCTACTCGGGACAGGACACCCTTCCATCACAGTCACTCACACCCACAACGCTCAGTCACTGTGACAATGCAGACAGGCCAGTGAACCTCACCTGCACACCTTCCCCCAGAGCCCCTGGGGAAAACCCATGCACACACGGGACATGTTGCAAACTCCATATAGGCAGTGAGCAGGCGGGATTATGTTTTCTCATCAATGTCTTAGTGAAACAACATGGAAAAGAGCAACAGTTATTCCAGGACCTGCTGCATATTGAATTTATATCTTTTTTTGGGGGGGACATTTTTCTATTTTTTGTTCAGATAGAGTGGGGAGGGAGAGAGAGAGAGAGAGAGAGAAACATTGACGTGAAAGGGACACATCGAGTGGCTGTCACCCGCACGACCCAACCAGGGTCGGGGACAAACCAGAACCGAACCCAGGTCTCTCTGAACCGCAGGCCAACGACGCTCTACGCTGAGCCAAACCAGCCAGGGCTATATTATTGTTTTAAGCACAGCAAGGACACCCCTGAGCCGCATGAGAGCCAATTAAAAAATCAAGTAATCCCCCCTGGCCGGTTTGGGTCAGCGGTTAAAGTGTCGGCCCTTGGACCAGAGAGTCCTGGGTTCGGTTCCCACTAAGGGCATGTACCTCGGTTGCAGTTTGTCCCTGGCCCTGGTTGGGGTCATGTGGGTGGCAACCACTCGATGTGTGATGTGTCTCTCTCAAGTCGATGTTTCTCTCTCTCTTCCTCCCTCCTGCTCTGTCTGAAGATAAATGCAAAAATGTCCTCGGCTGAGGATAAAAAAAAAAAAATTCAAGTAATCCGAAAGTGCTCTAATTCAGAGAGTTTGGAGCTCTTGTTCCTAACGCTCCCATTGGCATCTTGACCGGCAACTTTTAATGTAGCCCTTTGGGGTTGGCAGGGAAGGAGCAGGGGGTCAGGATGGAAAAAGTCATCCCCAGGGAACTGAGGCAGATCCCCCCTTTGCAAAACATGTTTGATGATTTACTACTACAGGCTTTCACCTAATTCTCATATTAACTCCATTTCCTCTATTCCTCGACTGTTGCTGGGATAAGGTACTAACTTGACCAAGGTCAAAGAGTAGCAAACAGAAGCGCCGCGCAGGGCAGACGGATCTCTGCTGGCCTTGGGCCCTTCCAGGATGCAAATCCCCCCCAGCCCCCCAACCTCACCCATCTCGGCGGGGCTTTATCCCTGAGACCCAGAGGCCATCTGCTAGGCCTGGGTCCGACCTAGATGGGAAGGCGATCCTGGCGTTCCGCAAATGTTGGCCAAGCTCGGTCCTTCCTGGCCAGAGCAGGGCCCCGCGCTTCGGCCGCACTGAGCGCGCGCTCCGAGGATGGAAGCGCGGACCCTCCGCGCAGGTGCGCGCGCACCTGTCGCCCGGCGTGCGCGCGGGGCGGGGGTCGGGCGGGAGAGGGGGCCTGTACGTGCTCCGCGCGCGTGCGCCCGACGGTGAGTCCCGTGCGTGCATCGTACGTCGTGGCCGCGTCCCTGCGCCGCGAGGGTCGGGCCGGGCGTCGGCCGGGTGCCCCGCGGAGGTCGGGGAGGGGCGTGTCGCTGGGCGGTGGGAACGCCCCCTGGCGGCGGCCGCGCGGCGCAGGGGCACGCAGTCAGGCGTTCTCCGCGGGCAGCCGGCGGCGGGGCCTTGCTCCGAGCGCGGGGTCCTCGGCGGCCTGGGCGGCTCCTGCCCCGCTGCTGGCGTAGGCGAGCGCGGCGGCGAGCGCGGCCGCAGTTGGTTCGCGGCGGCGGCGGCGGCGGCGGCGGCGGCGCGGGCGAGCGGGCGGCGGGCGGCGGCGGGCGGCGGGCGCAGCCGGAGGCGGCGCGGCGGCGGCGGCGGCGGCGCGCGGGGCCCGCGGCGGCGAGGGGCGGAAGATGGCGGACGTGCTCAGCGTCCTGCGACAGTACAACATCCAGAAGAAGGAGATCGTGGTGAAGGGGGACGAAGTCATCTTCGGCGAGTTCTCCTGGCCCAAGAACGTGAAGACCAACTATGTGGTCTGGGGGTACGTCGGGCAGGGCGGCGGGGGGCGGGCGGAGTCGGGCGCGGGCCCCTCCCCCCGGCCTGGGCTGGGACGGCGGGGCTCGGGGGAAAGTTTCCTCCGGGGCAGAAGTTGCACTTTTCCCGGTGGGGGCGGGGGCAGCCGCGTCGGGGGCGCTGCCCCCCGTCGGGTGTCCGGGCGGCGTGCACGGAGCGCCGGCGAGGCGCAGGGGTGCAGCGGGGGTCCCCGGGCGCCCCTTTGCGGCGCCGACCGTCCGCCCCTCGCTCCGGCCGCCCCGCGTTGCGAGGGTCCCCGCTGCCCTCGCGGCGCCTGGCCGGGCTCCGGGGCCCCCGCGGTCCCTCGGGAGCGGGCGCCGGCTGCGCGGTCGGGACGCCCGCCCGGGAGGGTCCTGCAGGTCCGGCCGCAGGCGGACGCCGGGGCTTCCTGAGGGAGAAGGGGGCCCGGGACCCCGAGTCGGAACTGGACGGGGCGTGCGGTTCGGGAATGTTTTGGGGGACGCCGACCCACGTGGGGTGCGCCGAGTGTAGCGGAGAGAACGCGTCTGAGCCGGGGCCGCCTGGGCCTTCTCGGGGGTGTTGCTCTGCAGGGTGCCCCGGTGGGGTCCCGGGACCCCGCGGCCGGAACTGCCCCCCGCGTCTGCCTCGGCTGCACGCGAGGCGTGGGCTCCGGGAAGAGTCGGTGAGAAGCCGGGGGCGCGGGGGTCCGGCGGTCGCTTTTGCAGTTTGGCCTTTTGGCCTCCAGGGCTGCTTACGCGGTTCGCGGGGTGGCAGGTGGGCGGTGAACGCCGACCCTCGGTGCGTTTTGTTGTCGGAGGGCTCGGCCGTGGCGAGTGCCTCTGCTTCGCGTTCTCTCCGAGTCGTTGCTTTTCTTCAAGAAACGGGGTTCAGGACGAGAGGACTCGGGTTGTGGGGTGGTTCAGGGTGAGGCACAGGAAGCGCGTTCGGACCCCGGGTTGTGCCTGGAAGGGGCTTGACCGAGGCGGTCCCTGAGATCTGGGGGTGTTAGGGAGGTTCATAGAGGTCGGCTTGACCCGTAGACGCGCCAGGGACTCTTCCCGAGTGAGGGAGCGAGCACAGGGGTAAGCCTCAAGGCAGGGGCGGGGTGCTGGGCGAGCTGCAGGGTTGGGGCCTTCGGGACCAGGGGACCGGCTGCCTCAAAGGCGCGCGAGCCGGAGGAAATGTTTGACAGCAACCCGGTGGGGCAGGAGTGCTGGACTAGCCGAGGTCAAACTTCTGCAGCAGCGAGTCGCCAGTGAGTCGTTTTCCTTCGCTGTGAGCACGTGTGCACAGGTCCAGCCGCAGCGGCAGACAATGCCCACTCCCTGCAGGCAGCGCGCCGGTGCTCCGGTGTTCCGGTGGTCCCATGGTCCGTGTCATAAAGCCCCGGTTGTTACCCACGTGTTAGATTTCACGGTACCGTATTTGACAGTGATGGGTGCTTTGAAATATATCCACTTAGAAGAAAAGTGAAAATAAAGGCTAGAAAATTAGGTTTGGGCTGAGTATGCCTGGCGTATTCGGATGAATTCAGATACTCTGATGTTTCTAGATGGGGGCGAGTGTTGTAGGGAGGGTGGGGTTGGACACTCCCCCCCCCCAAGACACTGTTTTATCACAGGTAGAATTCATTTTGCATTTACTTCATTGCTAATTTGAGGGATGTCGTAGGAATTACATCTTTGAAACTCATTGTTGTGTTTAGGGTAAGAGTGTTCCGTGGGAGACATAGAATCAATTTCTTGTAAGTTTAGCACCTGAAATAGTCATGCTTCTCCTAATCAGTCTGATTCTTTTCTCTGTGGATCCTCTCCAGTGTGTTACTGGTTATAGGTTCCTCTGTTGGCAACGCCCAGAACCCAATTTGGGCCACATTCTAAAAGCCTATAATACCTTAGGTATAAATATTGTGCTCTCCTTACTTCTTGCTTTTTTCATTGTCTGCCTGGGTGTTCCGTTCCCCTACTTATAGTTCCACTTACTAGATCGCATACTTTGTGTGTATTTTTGTTAGCCATGATAAATCCATTGTTGGAGAGCAAAGTGGGTATAGGTGAATTAATACATATAATTAAGTTCAGGTAACTGAATTAGAATTGTGAGTAAAACTCTTGCTGTAATTATTTCAGGACTGGAAAGGAAGGCCAACCCAGAGAATACTACACATTGGATTCTATATTATTTCTACTTAACAATGTGCACCTTTCTCATCCTGTTTATGTCCGACGTGCAGCCGTAAGTAGAATTCATTTTAAAACTTTTTTTATTTAGTTGGTGGTGGGTATCATTTGGTACGGATAACTTCCCTCGTGGGTTTCAAATCAAAAGGATGAAAGTCTCCTGGTGGTTTGTAATTAGAATATTGTGATTTATATGGATTTTTTTGTTTTGTCTTGTTAATCCTCACCTGAGGATATTTTTTCCATTGATTTTGAGAGAGAGAGAGAAACAAACATCACATACAAAATTAATGTGTCTGTGGAAGGACCCTAAGAACTCTAGTTTAATCTCTAGAAGACTTTTCTGACGTCAGAAAGAATTAAGAATAACATAACTTTTTTAGGCATAACTTTTTTAACATAACTTTTTTAAAATTTTTAGTCAGACTTTTCCGACTTTATTGATAAATTAACTTGTTTTCCGTTTTACCTGATTTCTGCATTTCAGTGTTTGCAATTTTTTTTTTTTTTTTTATCCTCACCCGAGGACACTTTTTCATTCTTTGTTCAGGTAGAGCAGGAGGGAGAGAGAGAGAGAGAAACATCGATGTGAAAGGGACACATCGAGTGGCTGCCACCCGCACGACCAACCAGGGCCGGGGACAAACTGCAACCGAGGTACATGCCCTTAGTGGGAACCGAACCCGGGTCTCTCTGGACCGCAGGCCGACGCTCTAACCGCTGAGCCAAACCGGCCAGGGCTGCATTTCAGTGTTTGAACACCGCTTTTCTGAACAAGAAATACATGTTCAGTGTCAAATTTGTATTGAAAAATATTATAGAGGGTGAAACAACCTGGAATTTGGGAGAAGAGTGGAATTAAATAGCACCTCTCTGTAACGCTGTGTTAACTCATAGTAGGTGTTTAAACACTGAGGTAGGCAGTAGTTAGAATGTTTCATTGGCTATATCCATGCATTTTGGGTAATAGAGATGATCCAGATATTCGGTTTAGATGTAGAAATTATGCTCTTGGGGAAGGGTTGTAGCACGTAACTAGCAGCTGTAATTGTTACTGATGCCCTTAGTACCCTTGGTCACTAAGCTTTAACTCTTGTTTTTCCTAAATGCTTGACAGATCAAAAGGGCAGGGTTCTAGAAGTCTAGGGTTCTACAATTTCTCTTAACTCCCTCGTGTTGTTTGCTCTTCTGACGGACTTTTTATGTTTATTGATTTTAGAGAGAGGGAGGAAGGGGGGGGAGAGAGAGAGAGATATGTCAATTTGTTTTCCTTATTTGTGTATTGATTGGTTGCTTCTTATATGTGCCCTGACTGGGGATCGAACTTGCAACCTTGGCGTGTTGGGATGACACTCTAGTCAACTTAGCCACCTTGGCCAGGGCTTGAGCGGACTATTTCTGAAGGGTTTTCCTGACCCATAGGTGCGTCCCCGGCATCCAGGACTGTGAGCAGGGTCCTTGGTGCAGGGAAATTACATCAGTGTTGAGCGTAACGTAGCTAATTAGTCAGACATGCCAAGAGTTCTTGTTCCTTCCTTGTTGTTTATGTAAAGTGACAGAGGGAACTTTATAATCCTGCAGCCACCACTTTTTCCTGTACTCTGTTTACATTGTAAAACTTATATGGAAATGGTGGGAATCATAGGATTTACTGAATTCATGGCTCAAAGATGAGTTGGTGCCAAAAGTAGTTCTGTTTGTTTTTCTCACTTCCTTACAAATTGTTAATGTCCCTGGTTAAAGGAAATGTATCCATTTTACCAAAATAGAAACAATTTTCAGATTTGATTTTTACTCTTTCTCCCCTGTGTACAGCATTTCTACTACACACTGAAGGATAAGAAAGAAATGTGTAGAAAGTGAACAACTACCATTAACATTTTCCTATATGATTGCCTACATTTTCCCCTTTGCCTAAACAACACATACCGATTGTTAATTATGAAATCTAGTTTTAGTGGCTGTTTATTTGAAGGAGTCCAAGCAGAATATTTTGAGGAGGTTTGGTTTGTACGTGAAAAAAGCAAGCACTGTGGAAAGACTGCGTCCGCGGAGCAGGCAAGGGCTGAAGAGAGTGGCCCCGAGTACACTGACCGGCACGCGTGGAATGAAACCTAACACTCAGAGGGAGCAAGGGGGCCAGAAGGACTCGAACTGACGTTTTAAAGAGGGATAGGGTCGTATACACGATCATAATCATAACTGAATTTCAAGAGTAGAGGTACCACCTTGGCCGGTGTGGCTCAGTTGGTTGGAGCATCGTCCAGTACAGCGAAAGGTGGCAGGTTCGAGTCCTAGTCAGGGCGCGTACAGGACGCAGCTGACTGATGGCGCAGGCTCGCTTTCCCTCCCTCCTCCCCCTGTCCCCCTCCTCTCCTCCACCCCGTCCCCCCTTCCTCTCTCTAAAATCAATTTAAAAAAACATGAAAAACTTAACCTTGATAATGGGGAAAATAAGTATAGTTACCAAAAATTAATATGCTTAAACCTTTTTAAGATTTTTTATTAAGTTCTTTTAGCCTAGTTATTTTCTAAAATTATGATTGTAAATAAATGTTATCAAGATATGTTGGAATAATGTTCAGATGGTACGTGGCATTTATCTTTACCACGTTTCTTATAATTATTTATTTGATATCTAATTTAAAATTTTTATTTCAGACTGAAAATATTCCTGTGGTTAGAAGACCTGACCGAAAAGATCTACTTGGATATCTCAACGGTGAAGCATGTGAGTGATTTTTAAATTGCTGTCACTCTTAAGTAGACATTGCGTTATCCTCTGCCCGACCATGAACTAAGAAGCAGGGGGAGAGAAGTTGTGTTCCCAGTAAACACTGGCCTACCTGCACCCGTGTCCATCTGCTCTCCTTTCTTTCCCATGAACGCCAGTGCACGGTCTTAGCTCCTGAGGCCTGGCACCCCGTCTTTGTGAATGGACTCCATCTCATTTCACATTCTCCTGGGCTTTGCCTTTGAAAATGATTGCTTACCTCTAGTATCATCAGTTCTCTCTTCTGCATCATTCCCTTTGGAATCCAAACAATAAGATCTCATTTAAAAACTCTGCATTCCACCCTGGCCGGTTTGGCTCAGCGGTTAGAGCATCAGCCTGTGGTCCGGAGAGACCTGGGTTCGGTTCCCGCTAAGGGCGGGTACTTTGGTTGCAGTTTGTCCCCAGCCCTGGTCGTGCGGGTGGCAGCCACTTGATGTGTCCCTTTCACGTCGATGTTTCTCTCTCCCTCCCTCCCACTCTATCTGTACAAAAAAATGGAAAGTGTCCTCGGGTGAGGATAAAAAAAAAACTCTACATCCCTACTGTCTCCTGCTCCGTTTGTCGTCTTGATGCAGAATTCTTCGCAGGAGTTGTGAGGTATCCCTGCTGCTGCTGCTTTATCTCTGCTTCTCTCCAAGCCCACTCCAGTTTGCTTTCTTCCTTACCGTCCCACTAACCCCCTCCGGTGAGGTCAGTACACGCGAGGATGGCCAAAGCCCTTGGTCTCTACCCACTGCTGACTTGACCTCTCGGCAGCGCCTGCTGCTCCCGCCTGGGGAGTCTGTCCACTCGGCATCTGTGGTGCTTTTGGATGTCTCTTCTGCTCATCGCCCCTCTCATTTTGTTTTGCGTGTATACTTGTTCACGCAGTGTTAGGAAGTCACTCTCAACATCTTCCCTCGGAGATTTACAGGCATCTGGAATTTAACGTGTCCAGCAACACAGTGCCGACTCCCTCCTCCCCGTCTCCTGGGAACAGAACTAACACGCAGGTTTACTCGCCATGCTCCCAGCTCGGCAAAGGGTTGCCCGTTCGCCTAGTGCTCGTCTTTCATCTTGAAAGTCTGACCGCTTCTTAGCGGTCTCCTCCCACCCTGTTCCTCTCTCTCTGCAGACGACCGCACGGCCTCCACAGTGTGCTCTCCGCCTGCTGTTGGGGTGACCTGTTTTTGAAGGAGTGTGTAGCTTGGTTGTGTCACTCCCCTGCTTAAGACCATCCTGTGGCTCCCATCACACTGTCCTCACCTGTACGGTCTTGCTTCCACCTCTGTCTCTACCGTATCTTCCTTTGCGGACGGCAGTCCAGTCTCTCTGTTTTACTTGTCCCAGCCCTAGAGCCTTTGCAATTGCTATGGTCTCCGTGTTCAGTTCTGTGTCTCTACGTTGTCACATGGCTCACTTTCTACCACTTTATTCCGATCTGCTCAGATGGTGGCCTGTCCGGAACAACTTACCTGACCCCTCTGACGTATGCAGTAACTAACACTGTGTTCCCTCCTTCCCTCACCTGGATAGCCCATCCTGACTTGTCTTTCATCGGATTCCTCATGTTGGCCTGAAATCGTGCATTTACTCGTTTACTTATATGTTGTCTGTCTCTCCCACGAGAGGGTGAACTCCAAGGGGAGGCAGTTGTTAAATACCCAGCATTCAGAACAGTGGTTGATCGTGGGTGCTTACCTGAGAGAGCAGTTGCTAATTTGCATCTTCCAGAGTGAACGCTTTGAGACAGAGATGTCTGCTCTCACCTTTCCTGGTGCAGTTTGTTACCATGAAGTCACTAATGGGCGTATTGTCGTGTGTTCTGCTCCGTGGCTTTAACAGGAAGGCTGCTTTGCACGGTCTCATGTGTTGCAGAAAGACCATCATCAAGAGCGTTGGCCTCCTCACTGTCCCCACTGAGCATTCAGCAGGCGCTCACCCAGGGCTTGTTCGTAAAGGCTTTGTGCTGGGTGCTGCCCAGGGTGCTAGCCCCGTCCTACAGCATGTGCCGGGTGCTGCCCAGGGTGCTAGGCCCTGTCCTACAGCACGTGCCGGGTGCTGCCCAGGGTGCTAGGCCCGTCCTACAGCGCGTGCCGGGTGCTGCCCAGGGTGCTAGGCCCGTCCTACAGCACGTGCCGGGTGCTGCCCAGGGTGCTAGGCCCGTCCTACAGCGCGTGCCGGGTGCTGCCCAGGGTGCTAGGCCCGTCCTACAGCGCGTGCCGGGTGCTGCCCAGGGTGCTAGGCCCTGTCCTACAGCGCGTGCCGGGTGCTGCCCAGGGTGCTAGGCCCTGTCCTACAGCACGTACCGGGTGCTGCCCAGGGTGCTAGGCCCTGTCCTAGAGCACATGCCGGGTGCTGCCCAGGGTGCTAGGCCCTGTCCTACAGCACGTGCCGGGTGCTGCCCAGGGTGCTAGGCCCTGTCCTACAGCACGTGCCGGGTGCTGCCCAGGGTGCTAGCCCCGTCCTAAAGCATGTTACTGTGCCAGGCAGACGGACACCCAAAGGTGAGATGCCGGGAGGGCTGTGGAGGGTCTTACATTGTGGTGAAGAGGGTGGATGGAGCTGGGGGGATAGGCAGGCCCTCCCCCCCATTTTGAATCATATGGTGGTATACTTGTTAAAAACAGATCTTTTTTTGTTTCAGAAGATCTGGTATGGAGTCTTAGGATTCTCTGTTTTTAATAATTATCTCAGGTGAGCCTGATAAATAGGCTAGTTTGGGGACAATGCTTTAGAGCAAATGTGTTTTTTCCCCCCAGAACAGAGTTACCTTTTATCCATCCTCATTATTTCCTATAGTTTCTGTGGGACAAGTACTTTTAGTCATCAAGTATATTATTTTGCTCATTTTTTAAAAATTGCTAACTTAATGGTTTAATGAAAAAGTTGATAAAATCTTAAGACATTCTGTATTCTTAGGAAGGCATACAGCTGAATGATATCAATTCTTTTTTTTTTTTTAGTTTTTATTTTTTCTTTATTGATTTTAGAGAGAGAAGAAGGGAGAGGGGCAGAGATAGAAACATCAATGAGCGAGAACATCGATTGGCCACCTCCTGCAGGCCCCCCACTGAGGATTAGGCCTACAACCTGGGCATGTGCCCCGACCGGGAATTGAACTGATGACCTCTTGGTGCATGGGGTTGATGCTCAACCACTGAGCCACACTGGCCTGGGGAAAGATATCAGTTCTTGACATGATTTATGTATTAACATGATCCCAATAAAAATCTTGATGGGTGGGTGGAACTAGAAATTATTCTAAACTTCATTTGACAAACTAAATGTTACAAAAATTTGGAGATCAGTGAGAAAATACTAATCATACAAAGCCCTGATAATTTAAAATATGTGAATGAATAAATTGATAGAACAGCTTCTTTATTTGCTAGATGTTAAGTTGTATGAGTTCAACATCAATAAAGAGACATTTCTAATCAATGGTGGAAAGGTGGGATTATTACGTTAATAGGTTGGTAAAGAGTAAACATTTTGGCATTATAAAGACATGACAGACTGGGAAAAGATATTTCAACTAATTAAAGTAAAAGGGCCAATCTCGCTAATGATATGACGTGGTCTTAGAAATATATACATAGCTTGGCCAGTGTGGCTCAGTGGATTGAGCATCATTGCATGAACTGAGAGGTCTCAGTTGGATTCCCGGGCAGAGCACGTGCCCGGGTTTCAGGCTGAGTCTCGGGGGGGGCCAAGCAGGAGGCGGCCTATCGATGTTTCTCTCTCTCCCTCCCTTCCTCTCTCTAAGAAATCAATAAAAAATTTTTTTAATTAAAAAAAAAACATGCATAAATGACCAGCACCCCAATAAACTATGGCCGTACAATTCACAGAAAAGGTAATAAAATAATACAAAATGCTTCACTTCATTCATAATAATAGAATTGCATATTTAAACTATACTGAGAAACAACCAATCTATGTTTCTCTCTCTCCTAAGATTAATGAAAATAAAGTGAAATGCATTTACAAAGCTGCTCTGAAACTTAATTTTTAGTTAGGGAGATCACCATATATCTAAAGTAATATAACAGATCTTGAGCTTTTCACTTGTAGTAATGTCTACTATATGTGTTCAAATATTGACCTCACAAAATCTTTTTAAATCTTCAGCAACTTCGGCAAGTATAGACAGAAGTGCCCCTCTAGAAATTGGTCTTCAGAGATCTACTCAAGGTATGTCTTGTTGAATGTTTATTTTAAACTTTCAAAAACCTGTCCCAAAACTATACATTTATTTATTTTTTCTTACAGTCAAACGAGCTGCAGATGAAGTTTTAGCAGAAGCAAAGAAACCGAGAATTGAGGTAATGGAATTTTATTTTAAAGGTGATTCATATTGCCCTGGCCGGGTAGCTAAGTGGTTAGAGCATTGGCCTGTGAACCAGAGTCATGGGTTCGATTCTGACCTAGGGCATGTACCTCAGTTGCAGTTCATCCCAGGCCCTGGTTGGGGTTGTGCGGGAGGCAACCAGTCGATGTCTCTCTCTCACATCGATGTCTGTGTGTTTCTCTCTCTCTTTCTCTCTCTCTTTCTCTCTCTCGTTCTCGCTTCCTCCCTCCTGCTCTATCTGAAGATAAATGGAAAAATATCCTTGGTGAGGATTAAAAAAAGTGATTCATATTGTTACAGAAATTGGGATTGTGTAGCCGTAAGAATTCTTTGCTCATAGAAACCTAGGAGCTTTTTTCTGGAAAAACTGTTGAAGAATAAACAGTAGCTTGAGCGTAGTTTAAGATCTTTGATGTATAAGCTATGTGATGGACAAATCACTTTATTTCCTTATTGATGGAAGTGTTGGACTACATCAGGGGTTGGAAAACTTTTTCTATAAAGTGCCAGACAGTAAATATTTGGGCTTTTTGGGTCATTTAGTCTCTGCCCAACCCCTCCACTCTGCTGCTGGAGCCGAGCCGGCGCGTGGACGAGCAGGCCTGGCCTTAGCCCAGCAGTAGTTGACAGAGCAGATGGAGGGCCAGGTTTGGCCTTTGGGTTGCAGTTTGCCTAACCCTGGAATAAGATGGTGTGGAGATTTGCTTCACTCTTAGGAGCAGTGAACAGGAAGTGCTTATTATAGTTACTTAAGATATTGACACATCTGGTTACATATTTTTGTAGCGTATTACAGCCACTAAATGGAATGTCTATATTGTCCAATAAGGTAGTTCACTTGCAACAGAAGTCATGTAAGAAATGCAGTTACCTTGGAAAGAATATTTGTTGATTAGCTAGTACACTGCCTAAGACTTTAGGAATTTTATACCATTTATTTAAATTTGTAACAAGCCCCAGATCAGTTACATATAAGTCCCCCTGGAATGGAGGGTTGGGCACCAGAGGGGTACTTAAGATCTCGACATGGCTGAGTGGGTCATTCATCGGTGAACACTACAGAACAGCTCTGTAGCCATCACTAGTGCTGACGTGCCAGAGACTTAAACCTTCTTACTTCACACACGTGTGTGAGTCAAGTGGGTGTACATTTTGCCTACTTCATAAACAGCAAAACATCTACAGTTCAGGATAAGAAAAGGAGCTGTTAAAGGAACAGGGTGAGTTGGTAAAAACAGTGGGATCATGGACATCTGATGCTGAAACTAATTTTAAGTAGTGTACTTTGAGACATGGGCCTATGTTTTTTTAGGAGCGATAATAATAATTAGCTCCTTGTTATTACTTGGTGCTCGGTGATGTTCTCTGTACTTTATGTATATAAATTCCTATGATTTCCACCAAAAGCTCCTGAAATTGGCAGTACTGTGCATGTCATCTAAGAGCAAACCAGCTCAGAGCAAGTGGCTTGTTGGGTTCACAGAACCAGGATTAGAGCCCAGGCAGTCTGGCTGCTGACCGTTCCACTGTATTGGGTATACATTCTGTGGCAGTAAAACTGAAATTTCCCCAAGTCTCTTTGTATGCAAGGAGGCTGTGACCAACTACTCTACAAATTGAGTGAATTTGAGGATACCATTTATTTAGAAAAACTTTCATTCCGCAGTATAATACTGAAAAAATTGAACTCAGAAATGCTATTTCCTAGGATTCTATTAATTTGAAAAGTCAGCAGGACATAGCATAATAACATTTCTGACAGTGCATCTATAGAGTTAAATGAGTTACTAACCAGCTGTGTTACGTGGACACTTCTCACGTCAGCAGATACATGCTGAGAACCTGCCAGGCTCAAGTCTAGGAAAGAGAGGCCCTGAGGGTGAGGGTTCTGATCTGGTTAGAATCCAGGCTGCAGTTTCTAAAATCCGCAAGCAGTCTCCTAAGAACTTGAGCGCTTTGTTGACACCTTTGTTACAAATACAAAATTCATTGTGTTTCCTAAAATATTATCCTTACTTTCATGTTAGCAATGTCTGTTTTAAGAGTTTTATATGATAGATTAATAATAGAGCATGAATTGGAGCATAACATCCTTTTATTTATTTATTTATTTTTGTACAGATAGAGTGGGAGGGAGAGAGAGAGAGAAACATCGACGTGAAGGGACACATCGAGTGGCTGCCACCCGCACGACCAACCAGGGCCGGGGACAAATTGCAACCGAAGTACGTGCCCTTAGCGGGAACTGAACCCGGGTCTCTCCGGACCGCAGGCCGACGCTCTAACCGCTGAGCCAAACTGGCCAGGGCGCATAACATCTTTTTAGACCTCAGATGTATTGATGCTTTTTATACAATTTCATATTCTGTTAGTCATAGATATTACTGACTCGGGTCCTCGGTTTTCTCATGTGTTGAATGTGGAGATCAGCGTACTAAGTCCTGTTTTTAAGAAACCAAACATGTCCAAACTAAATTTTACCTGAAATTCTAATGCTGCTACCAAGGTTCAATTCAGACAGGAAGTGGCCCAAGGGGCACTTTGTAGGCAACTCCTGATGTTTGGAGGACTAGGCTTTGAAAACCGTACACGGTTTGCATCTAGCGTTTCAATCTGTATTGATGGATTCAGGACTGTGGTAACAGATGAAAACAACCTCGATCCAAAATGAAATTTTGACTGTAGTGAAGGCTTTTCATAAACTTAGTTATAAACTTTCTTGAAGAGTTGGGGTTTATTTGTTGTACGATATCTTTCTGAATAAAGGTAGCTGTGATATCTTATGGGAAGACCATTTAATCCTAGAAAACAGTCACTAAAGTTATATGGTAAGTTTTTAGTCAGTTCTGTTCTTATGTGCTCCGCTATATATTTATTATCTTTTTTATTATATATATTTATTGTCTTCCTGTAACTGAAAGTGATCTTCAAGTTGACACAGGGCCAGTGATGCCTGGAACTTTAGGCAGGACTGTATGTAAAGAAAAGTTACGTGTAGTGTTTTTTTATTCTAAAACTTAAAGCTGTAAAACATTCACTAGCAGTGACTGTTCCCAGGATGAAGAGTGTGTGCGCCTTGATAAGGAGAGGCTGGCGGCTCGCTTGGAGGGTCACAAGGAAGGGATTGTACAGACTGAACAGATCAGGTAAGAATTTCTTCAGTGGGAAGTACGCAGTTTAGGTCTATGTAAGTGGATGGGGGAAGAGGGCTATTAATATGCCGTCTACTCTACATTTACCTGCACTCATTATATGCCTCTGTGCCCTGAGTTCAGAAGGTGGTGCGTGGGCATGTTTTACGGGAAGGGGGGTGGGTGTTGAGGCCATTGTGCAAATTACGCTTTCTGGAAAGCCTTCTTGATTTTGTCACCATATTGATCTGTTCTTCTTTAAAAATTAGAATCCAAGCCACTTTTTGTCATGTCATCTCTTGTTGATTTATAGTAGAGGTCAGCAGAGTTTTCCTGTAAAGTGTCACGTGTTCAGTATTTTGGCTTTGGTTTTTGTGACTATTCAACTCTTCCCTGGTGGGGAAGCAGCCATGGACCGCTTTCAGTCCTAGGTGAATGGGCTTGGCTGGTTTGGGCCTGTGCTCGTATTTTATTGACTCCTGACTTTTACTAAGATTTAGAATCACTTCATAATTTTTTCTTGGCACGATATGTTTTTGGAAGTTTTATCCAAACTTAAAATTGTAATGCAGATTTTTAAAAGCTTTATTGAGGCTAATTGGCATACAGTAAACTACTCATATTTAAAGTGTGTAAACTGGTAAATTTTCACGTCTGTGTATGTCTATGAAGCTATCATCATAATCAAGGTAATGAACATAGCATTAGCCCCATAAATGTCCTGTGTACTCCCAGTGGTCTGTCCACCCCCACATTGTTCCATCCTTCCCAGCCAGCCAATCATCTGCTGTTACTATAGGTCAGTTTTTTTTTTCTAAATATAAATGGAAGTATGTAGTATGTGCTTTTTTTCCATTTAGCATAATTATTTTGAGATCCATCCATATGGTTGAATGTATGAATAGCTCATTCCTTTTTTTCGCTGAGTAGTATTCCACTGTGTGGGTGGAGCAGTGTGTTTCCCAGTCACCTCTTGGTGGATGTTTCACATGTTACTGTTTCTCTGTACAAGTCTTTGATGGCCGTCTGTTTCTATTTCCCCTGAGTAAATACTGGTAGAGGAATGACTGGATCATTTTGTATTGGAGAGCTAACTTTTTAGGAAATTGCCAGAGCATATATCCAGTGGACTACTCACACGGCGTCTTGAAAACCCGCGATACTGCCCTTCGCGACAGCGTGGGTGGACTTGAGAGTATCGTGCTAAGCAAAATAGGTCAGACAGAAGGGTTGAGAACCATATGATTTCACTCATATGTGGGCTATCAAACTGGAAGCAATAAGTGAACAAACAAGAAAAAAACAACTCACAGATGACAGCATGGTGGTTACCAGAGGGAAGGGGATGGGGAGGGTAGTCAAGGATAAAGGGGGTCAGATATATGGTGATAGAAGATTCGACTTTAGGTAGTGGGCACATAATGCAGGACACAGAAGTGTGTCATAGAACTGTGTTCTTGAAACCTGTGTAATCTTATTAACCAGTGTCATTGCCATACATTTAATTAGTAAAAGAAAGTGCCAAAGTGGTTTTCACAGTGGTGGTTCTAGCTTACATTTCTGCCCGCTTTTTACACGTGTTCTGGTGTCATCACATCCTCGCCACGCTAGCTGTGGTCAGGGCTTGAACTTTCGCCCTTCTTTTTTTTACATTTTTTTTTCTTTATTGATTTGAGAGAGAGGAAGGAAGAGGGAGGGAGAGAGAGAAACATCATGAGAGAGAACATCGACTGGCCGCCTCCTGCGTGCCTCCCCCCCCCCCCCCCCGGGATTGGGCCCACAACCCGGGCACGTGCCCTGACCAGGAATCAAACTGGCGACCTCCTGGTGCAGGGTCGACGCTCAGCCACTGAGCCACACCGGCCAGGCCGCCGTTCTAAACTAAAAGATATTGTGAGCATCTTTCCATTGTCCTGTTTGCCATCCTGTACCATGTTCAGTGAAATTTCTTCGAGTTTTTCTCCATATAAAAAAAAATTTATATTTTTCAGTTTACAGTTTTTATTCTAAGTCTTCTTTTTTACTGAAAAACATTTTTTTAACTGAGTTTTGAAAGTTTGTTGTATCTTCTGGATACAAATTTTTTTTCAGACATATACTTTTCAAACATTTCTCCCGATCTGACTTGTCTTTTCAGTCTTGTAGCTGCCTTTTGAAGAGCAGCAGAATGTTTTCATTTTTGTGAAGTCTGATTTCTTTAACGTGTTCTTTGGTGAATGGTGCTTTGGTGTTGCATCTAAGAAACCTTTGCCTGCACATGGTAAACATCTTCTTTGTTTTCTGGGTGAAGCCGTTCAGAGGACTTTCTTGGTTCTTCGCCACCTCGGTCTGTCCGTAGACCTTCACAGCACGAGGGCCAGGGGGCCAGCGGATGGCAGTGGCACTTTTAACTTGTCTGTGTCCCTACCTGACTTGTTCAACATGTGGAACAGAGTTGTGATAATTACTTGAACGCCTTTGCTCACCCTTCGTCTGTGACAGTTTACAGCTGGTTCGATTTGGATTTGTCCTCATCCTGGCTTGTATTTTCCTGCTCCTTTAACATCCTTGGAATCTTCAGGTGCTAGACACTTTGCATTGTACCTTTCTGAGTGCTAGATTTGTTTGTATTTCTCTAAATTTACGTTAGCTTTATTTGGGGACATAGTTAAGTCACTTGGAAATTGTTCCTTTTGGGTCTTTTGAAGATTTGTTGTTTAAACAGTTGGTAGTCTGGGTTTGTTCGCCACAGATTGGTGGGCAGACCATTCTGAGTGCTCTGTCTGATGCCCATGAATATGAAGCGGGAGCATTGGGCATTGTTCTCTGACTCCTCTTGGATGGTTCTATACCCGGCTTTGGTTTCCTCGTGGCGGTGCTGGTCAGAGTCCTGCTGGGCACTGAGGGACCTTGTGGGCAGGTCTCTGTTCCCGTCCTCCGACCTGTGGACGCAGCCGCTTTCATTTCCCTGGACTCGACCCCAGTGTCTCAAGTCAGGGTGTCCGCTCAGCTTTCCTAAGCCGTCCTCCACGTGCCCTGTGAGAAAGTCCACGCAGGAGACCGTGCCTGCTCGGCTCACCTTCGCCGGTTCCCTTGGCCAGAGATCACGGTCTTCCCCTGCTTGGTACCAGCCGCTCAGCACACTGTCCCTTCACACACTGTGCTGGTTCAAAGAGGAGGCTCGGTGCGGCTCTGCCAGTTCATCTTGGCTAGAAAGGAAGTTGAATGCATATTTTACTATCATTTAGAAAATTACTTGATTTGCCTCAGATATGGTGGTATGCCTTAGATTTTGAGGGAAAGTTGCACAATATACCTAAAATGAGTCAAAGACTAGATGCACATTCGGCCTCTGCTATGAAGCACCTTCGTCCCTACTGTAGACAGACCAGTGTGCTGTGTGTCCCGCATTGTACCTGCAGGGATTCCTGTCGTTTCTCCAGGTGCTGTTTAAACATATTTCAAGATTGTCACCTTGTGATTAGAGTAATACTTTTATCAACTGTTTAGGTACCCAAACACTTTTTAGCTTTTTCTCATTTTATGTTGTGAAAAATGACACCAGGGTTATTATTAATGAAATCTATACTCAGTGTTGTCCTTTTTTATAGTTATGAAAGCCTCTGTTAACTATTTTGCCTATTATTTGAAAATCAAGTGAAGGAAATTTCAGACTGTGGCTCCACCTCCCAGACCTTGGCAGGAGCGTGTGTGCGTGCGTGTCTGAAAGCCCCTGTCCTGTGGAGCTGATGTGCTGTGCGCTGTGATCTGCAGGCTTGAGACCTTACCGTAAACTTTAGGGAAAACCCAAGCTTTGAGTTCTTTGCAAAATGACATTTTCAGTCCCTCCCCTTTCCAAGGGTGTGTGTGTGTGTGTTTATATAATTTGCCTGAGTAGAGGGATGTGAGCAAGTAAAAGTCTTAGAAAATATGAACTAAAGTACCCATATTAATAAGTTTCCATTCTTTTGGAGGGGAAGACACACAAAAAGTGAAGATTTTTTGTTGCATTGGTCCCTCTAAGAAATGAGCTAATTTGCTCGTAGAGTAATATTTCTACATGGGCTCTTTATAAAAATCTTACATGATCATAAAATACAAGGTATGTCATTTTTATAGATAAGAAAATCTTAGTTATTGCCACTTAAAGTATTTTTACCATGAACTTATAAATGTAACGTTAGCATAGTCTGATGTGCTCAAGAGATCCTTCACTGTGAAAACTTAAAAAATAAATTGCTTTCAGGTCTTTGTCTGAAGCTATGTCAGTGGAAAAAATTGCTGCAATTAAAGCCAAAATTATGGCTAAGAAAAGATCTACCATCAAGACTGACTTAGATGATGACATAACTGCTCTGAAACAGCGGAGTTTTGTGGACGCCGAGGTGGACGTGACCCGAGACATCGTCAGCAGAGAGAGAGTGTGGCGGACACGGACCACCATCTTACAGAGCACGGGAAAGGTAACAGACATTGGCGCGTTCGGTGTAGCGAGTGTGTGTTTAACCTGTGACTGGTTGTACAGGTGGTTAAAATTTGCCCTAGGAGGCTTCAGGTTTTGTCTCTGGAAGATTAGTTACGTAGATTTCTAACTGGCCACATTTGCAATGTATTCTGCCTTGTGGTTGTCGGTCACCGGAGAAGCTGATGAGAAAGTCTGACTCTAATTTCAGCTCCTTGATTTCCTCATTGTCCATCCAAGGAGGGGCCCACTTTTCCTCTTGGTCAGATTTTTGCTTCAACTCAATAAACAGGGAATGGTGATGTCAAGCTCTCTGGTTGTTAAAGTCATTAATTTTTTCTCCACAAAGCGGAGAACTTGGGAAAATCAGTCACAGACATTTACTGCGTGAATTTTACACTTCGTATTCTGGTGTGTGGATGTAGCAATGTTCATTTGTTCCTTATTTGTGGAGTCATTTGTTTTGTTTTCTTGCTACGGGATTATGGGGTTTTCTTCCCTCTCTTTCTCCTCCTCCCTTCATCTCCCCCTTCCTATTCACGATTACAAATAATGCATTAAAAACATCCTTTTACATAAACCTGTGCATTTATGTATATACAGCAAACGATTTAAACTCTAGAAGCAAATTGCTGGTTACAGGAGATGTGTACTTTACATTTGGAAAGATCCTGGCTGCGTCAGTGTCTTAGTGGATCTCCAGAAAGGGGGCATTGACTGCTCACGTACATGTTTGGTCTGTCCTCCCCCACCTCTCAGTTTGCTCCTAATGTTAGCCCCTCACTGATGCCCAGTTATTAGTAGTGATGATTTGGTAAGTAGATTGGCAGAAGAGGTTATTGATAAAAGTGGACTTCTACATGCATTTCATTTGCAGATTTTGGATTCTGTCCTCAAATTTACTGTGTCATTTTAGTAGGAATAAAGCTGATCGAAAAGAGTATGTAAAGGAAAGAATTTTTTTTGTACTTTGACTTGTTTTACAAAGTACTTAAGCCATTTTTACCACCTGATGTGGGGCTCATAGTTGAATATTGTGACTTACATTGTTCTAGCAATGTTTATTATAATTGTTAAACCGGAATTTTATAGTAATGGAATAAAACAGGTGATAGACTCCACCTTACTTGTAGACCGAGTATTAAGTTTTCAAATAACGAAGAAGAACAATCTGTGCTGAGCTCTAGGTGGCAGGCTTGCACCGCCCTGGGAGCACCGAGGGCGTGGCTGAGCTCAGTTGTTGCTCCACTGCTGTCTTTTTAAAAGCAGGTTCATTTAAGAATTGTTTGATAGCTAGGTTTGCTTCTGTGAGTATTACCATTTTAAAAAGTAAAAAGTACAAAAAGTAAAGTGTACAAAAAGTGTTTTCTCTGTCTACTGTTCTTTCCTGCTACACTCTAAAAAACCTTGAGGTACTCATAGCCCTAAAAGACCCTAAGATTTTAGCTAGACCTTATTTTCTGATTTTTTGGAATAAAAGACAGGTTAAAGACTCTGAGAACTCTAAGTATGTCCTCTTATAGTTCTATTGCTATCGCAGGCACCCCACGTAAAGTACCCCGATGTTACTTATTTTTTTCTTTATTGATTTAAAGAAAATTTTTAAAATTGATTTTTAGAGGCAGAGGAAGGGAGAGGGAGAGAGAGATAGAAACATGAATGAGAGAGAACATTGATCGGCTGCCCCGTGTCCTGGCCGGGAATTGAACTGGCAACCTCTCGGTGCATGGGTGATGCTCAACCACCGAGCCACACTGGCTGGGCAGCACCCTGATTTTATAATGCCATTAAAAATACATTTTTAAGTGTATATAAGTTGGTATGTATTCTTTGCTAAAGAATTGATAGAGATCTTTAAGAGGAAGATAATCATCTGTAATTTTACTATACAAAAATAGCTGATAACTTTTTGATGGATTTTTCCAGAATCTGTGTGTCTCACACAGTACGGTGTTATTGGAACGGTCATGAGAATGATCTGCGTCACTTTGGGTGATAGGACTAGGACGGCATTGGCATCGGTCTCTGTCGACCTCCCGCTGCTGGTGCCAGCGTAGCAGTGGGCTCCCTGCCGGCCTCTCGCACCATCAGGGCATCGGCACCAAACTGCCCAAGGCAGGGCGCCACTGTGTTCTTCACCCACTGATGCTGGCCTTGGGGACATTTTAAAATAGACTCCTTTTATAAATCTTGACCTTTGAGTAAGAGCTTTCAAGGACTTTGTGTGATGAGATCAGTCTGTGAAGCACCTCTGCGTCAGGAGCAGGACGACGGTGCGGGAGAGCACCGCGCCGTTGCCCGCGCCGTGTGCCGGCCCGCCGCGTCCCCCGAGGCCGTGTTGATGGAAAGCGATGCTAGTCAGAGTAAATACAAAATAAATATGCTGTTCAGACTTAAATATTCGGCAGACTTTTTTTCTGGAAAATGAATGAAGTTCCTTCAAGGAAAGCAGTTGAAAGTATTCGTTGCCAACAATAAACTATGGGATTTTATGAGAAAGTTAGGATTTTGAGGAAGTTGCGTTTTGCTACTCTGACTGTAACAGGTTCCTAAATACTTAAAGACTCTTCTGATGAGGTCTGTGATGATACCAACAAATGTAATTTGTTAATGTTATATAATATAGTGCGTCAACATTTAGAAAGTACATAATTCAGTGATGGATATTTTCCAGATGACCCATGCAAGCTCTTAACAAAGTTACGTTTGTGTAAAAGAAAAATCCATTTAATGTGCCTAAGAGGCCAGTGGATTTTAAAGTGTACACAAAGTTCATGGTCTGCTTTTCACATGGCGGTAACACTACTTACTACATTTTGGCATGATATCAAAGCATATCTGCATCATTTGAATAGCTACTGTAGTACTTCTTCTTTTCCACTTGTTTGTGTGAGGCTAGATTTTCTTTTATGTACTTAGCCCAAAGCAAAACAAGATACCACAACAAATATTAACTGTTGAAGTAGGTATGAAAATACAGCTGTCTTGTATTAAGCCAGGCATTGAGATTTGCAGAAATTTAAAATAGTGCCACTCTTTCTTGTCATTACATTTTTGTGCATTTTGGAAAATAGTTTTTAAAACTATGGGTTGCTCCAGAAAGCTCTGACCCTGTGCGAAGGCCTCAGCCAGGGACCCCTGGGATGAGCGGCACCAAGCCTGTCACTGCAAGTGGGGGGCGGTTCCCGTTCCACAGAGCCAGGCAAACGGAAACAGTACTGAAGAAGCCACGTCTGCCGACGACGAAGCTGCTGCCACGTTTCTGGCAGAGTTGAAGAAATGATGCGGTTTCCTAGTATTTTGGTTTCAGGTATCCACTGAGGTCTTGCAGCATGTCCCCTGCAGATAAGGGGATTGCCATAGTAATTGATTCGGAATTAACAGCTCTGTTGACAACTCATCTTTCTTATTTTATTTAAATACTAACTTGTTTCCTGGTCACATACTTGAGTGGATGCCGAATATGAACAGATGTGTAGCCAGGGCTGTCTGAGCAGAGTGACAGGAGACGAGCAGCGCTGGTCTGTGGTGCTCGGTCTCCGCCGCCGTCGGTCTGGCCTCTGTATGCGAGCGGCGGGAGCCTCATCGCGCGGCAGAGGGGAGAATTGACGGGAGGAAAGCTTAGTCTGAAATTGTTTAAGTACGTAAACCTACTGTCTTTGAATGCTTAATTTTAAAATCTGTTTGTATTTTAGAACTTTTCCAAGAATATTTTTGCAATTCTTCAGTCGGTGAAAGCCAGAGAGGAAGGGCGTGCCCCCGAGCAGCGGCCGGCCCCAAACGCGGCGCCCGTGGTAAGAGTGGCTGGCTGTTACTCTGCTCTGCGTGAACGCGCCCGCTTTCCAGTGTTGTCATTTCGAGACGCCTAACTAAGGTTTCAGTGAGTAGGTTCTAAGCCTTCTGTTGCTTCAACATACCCAAGGGATGTGAAAACCCTCTTACCATTAAAAGTGATGTCAGCAGTAATTCTTCACTGGAGACACACCTGGCTCAGAATCTGCAAGGGACCAGTTAGAGCCCTCTGACTGTAGCTGGCCTACTTGGTGCCGCTTTGGAGAAGCACTGACCACTGTTGGAAACAGCGACCCCAGTCGCCAGTCACGGCGGGGCCTTGTTCGGACATTGGTTCTGTGACTTCACGGCAAGTGTGTGGTGCTGGTCCTTGCGTTGGCCGTAGTTTCAGCTGTTCGGAAGGTCACCTGCCTCACTGGTTGAGATGCCACTTAGGGTCTTCCCAGAATGAGTGTCACGCATGACGTATAGTCTGTGTTTAACCTTAGACACGCCTCTGGTTCTGTTGAAGTCTTCCAGCTAGTTTGATGAGTCAACAAAGGGAAAAATATGTAGAAGTAAAATTGTTTTTTTATTTTATGTAAAAATTAAAACATACGGCCCTGGCCGGTTTGGTTCAGCAGTTGGAGCATCAGCCTGCGGACCAGAGAGTCCCGGGTTCGGTTCCCGCTAGGGGCACGTACCAAAAAAAAAAAAGTTTTTTTTTAAATATGGTAGAGCACTAATACAGTGTTTGCAAGATCTAGAAATTGTGTTTGTTCCTGAAATCATTGCTGTCCAGCCTCTTAGCAGCAGTGGGCTCTGCTGGTCCGTAGACGCCTGTCAGTGGGCTTTGCAGGGGCACCGAAGTGCTGCTCTTGTCAGGCCTCGTGCCAACCCAGCCCAGTCCCGTCCTCTCTCAGCTAGTCTAGGGGACGGGAGGTGACTGAGGAAGGTGACGACGGGGAAGCACTGGGTGCTTATGCGAGGACTCGGATGACATTTCAGTAGCAGTTGCTGGGAGACAATGTCAGTCTGAACCAGTGAACCGTTATCTTCGTGGCCGAGTGCTGCCTGTGTTCCCTGAATCACGAGGTGCTTCCCAGCCGTGATGCTCGGCAGTGACTCTTGCCGTACACGGACCCAGTGATAGTCTCGAATAGTGTCTTTTATTTGGAGTATGCTTGGGATAGCATTTTATTTTAACTAAATGAAGCGTATTTTAATTTTCATGAATTTCCCAAGCAATTTGGAGAACATTCTTTAAATATTTTTTCAGATTATTACAGATAGTATGAATTAAATTATCCATCATTTTTTCTAAATATTTCAGAAAAAAAAATCTTTGTTGACTTCAGTCTTACCCTGTACATTTATAATGGGTTTATTGTCAGTCATGGTTGTCATTATTTTAATTTAAAGATTAACAATTTGGAGAATAATTCAGTTAAAAGGTTCTAAAATACCACCTCAATAAACTTTGAATTAAAAGGGGGGGATTTGGTTGTTAAAAAATTCATAATTGGAGGAAGCTTATTATTTCATAAAGAAATGTAAGTAATTGGGATGAGGGTGCTGAGCACACCCGTTTTATTTCTGCAGTAGCCTTGGTTCAGGCTCACCTGGGGTCCTTTGCCCTTGTCCCTGATAGGGATGGTGATTTTCTAGTAGTAAACAGTGTCACTTTTGTCTTATTGACTATAATAAGGAAAAAGCTTAGAAAACAATATCCCTGTTGTGGTTTTTATGGTGAGTATTAAGTAACAGTTTAGAATATTAACATGTAAGTCGTGATGAATTTCTCTGCAGGATCCCACACTGCGTACCAAGCAGCCTGTCCCAGCCGCCTACAACAGATACGACCAGGAACGGTTCAAAGGGAAAGAAGGCAAGTTCCTTAGTTTTTATCTTTCTTTTCCTGTGCTTGTGCTCAGCTTGAGAGGCGGTGCAGCCCACCCTGCAGCCCAGCCACGCTTGTTACGCACTGTCCCTGCTCCCTCGTGCCGCTCCCTCGTGCCGCGACAGTGGGGCGGCGCCGAGGGAGCCCGCCTGGGCTGCGAAGCCTGAGGGGTGGCTGTCTTTCACAGAGTCCGTTTGCCTGCCCCTGGTCACTGCATGGGTTCTGGACCCGATTGCTGTGCCACAGTCACTTTTTTGGTGAATATTGGCGTTACTGTAACTGCATTCTGTCTCAGTTACCCCTTTGTGACAGCACAGTCCTAACAGCAGTAGTAGTACAGCACTTACCTCTCAGAGTTGTTGTGGGGATTAAACTCGTTAGTAAATGTAAAGTCCCTAGAATCAGTGACCGGTATGGAATAAGCTGCTATATTATAGTTATATATATTACATTGTTATTAACGTTAGTTCTGCTTTTCAAAAGTTTATTTTAATGGGAGGTTCTGTGTGTCAAGTCATGTTTCCCAGATTATAAATGTGTACATTGAGAACGCGGGAAGTGGACTGGAGTCGCCGTGCAAGATGCATTTTGAGAAAGCCCACATGGCATCCTGGCTAACAGTAGGGTCGGTGCCACATTAGTGAGCTGGTTCTTAAAGTGGGACAATTTAGTAACTTCTCGTTTGTCTTGACTTGATTCATGACAAAATGAGGTAGCAGCAGGTGGAAGTTTAACAATTGCCATTTTTTCCTGCATAATCTGAAACCTAGGTTTCGTTAAAGGATATATTGTCTTGATGCAGTGTGTGTGTTGACTTTATTTACTGGACAAAGGCATGTACTAAGTACATGGTGTAGACAGTGGTCCATTCTTTCATTCATGCAGGGTTTTTATTGTGGAATGACTTATGTAACCTAGGGGCTGGCCAGCTGCAGCCCACAGACCAGCTCAGATCCTCGCCGTGCCCATTTGTCTACCCTGTGGTTTATCTCCCGTCTGCACCACACTGCAGAATCCAGTAGTTGTGGCAGAGACGGCATGGCTGCTGCTGCGTACATGTTTACTGTATGATGCTCCACAGAAAGGCATGTCGGGACCGTCCTGGACCCTGTCCCTACTCAGCACTGCTTTTCTGCAGTGTAACGTGCCTGTCATTGCACTGTGTGAACATCACATGTTAAGGACTTCTCATGATAATAGATGCTTTTAGTGGTACTGCACTGAGTAAGTGAATATTAGGTGTGAATAATGTTAGGGTTGTATTATTAAGTATTTTATTCAGTCTAATATTTGATACTCCAACTCTATGAGTATTGAACACAGTTGTAGAGCTGGTGTTAACCGGCTTCTGCACACAGGGCACGTGGGTGTGTATTGAATGTATTTTTGAGACCAGCACCCTTACCAAGTTTTTAGCTTCACAAATATGTGATTTAACTTTGTGGGTATGGTAGAGTCAAGACTTTGTTATACTGTTGAACTGTTCAAAAATATTGTGGATTATTACTTTAAATTGTGATCGATCATGAAATACATACAATCTAATAGAAAACCCCTTTCTTTGTAGAAACGGAAGGCTTCAAGATCGACACGATGGGCACCTACCACGGCATGACTCTGAAGTCCGTGACGGTGAGTCCTGGGGCCACAGGGCTGCTCTTGATCCAGCCGCTTTGTGTGGGTGGCAGGTGCTGGAGGGATCTTCGCTCTGCAGTGCTTTCTGCCTCAGACATTTGTCTTTACTGACCACTTGTGCCAGTAGGTCTGTGTGGAGATTATTTGATTCACAGAGCTCCTTATTTATTTTTTTAAAACTGAGTTGAGCCTGTTGTGATGAACTGCAAGTAGGTTGGATGCACCTGGTTAGAGGACGTCCAACCAGTGAGGATCCCAACGTCAGCTGGAGAGCTTGCCGCGCCTCTCACGCGAAGGGGAGCGTGCGGGGTGAGGGGGTGAGGCGCTGCGTTCGGAGTGCACGCTGGACAGAGCCACACGAGCCTAACGTTGTCGCTTCTCGTTGTTCCAGCCAAGTCGTGTTATGTTTAACATGGTGACGTCGGCAGGAATTCTGTTGACCTCATTTTGCGTATATGTATTATAGATCATTGCACCTCTTAGACTTTAAGGTGCTTTGTGTGTGCACTAATCAGAGTATCTGTATATGTGAAACACTGCCACCAAACTTTGTTTTGTGAGTCCTCAGGTCTCTGAGGACTTGGTGTGACGGAGTCATCTGTATTTGTTGTGAGTTCTCGGAATTGAGATACATCTTGCCACACTTGACTCATTTCTAGGAACAGCAAAGAAATGTGGAAAATCTGCTATTAGAAGTTGACTTTTTCTCTTTTTCTGGACTTCACATTGGAATTGAGCATGAGACACTTTGCTGATAGTACACCTGTTTCTAAGTTGTCATCAGATGTATGTTTGCATGTTGGAAATCGGATGTGGACTCATTGGTTCATTCAGCCAGTGCTTGTTGAGCAGCTGTCTGGTCTCTGGGGCTCCAGCTGTGAGTGAGCCAGGTGGGGCCTCGCGGGGGAGGGGTGTGTGAGGCTGGGAGGAGTGATGGCCGGGCAGGGCCCTGGCGGGAGCATCCGAGAGCCGGCAGGGCGGAGGCCGGGCAGCGCAGGAGGCCAGGGGCAGTCTCCTGAGCCCAGGGAGGGGGAGGGTCGGACGCAGCCGCCTCCCAGCCTCTGCTCAGCCCTTCCCGACGGCTGGGTGTAACCCGGGGCTCTGAGATCGAGCCTCAGTTCCTCAGGATTCATTTATTATAGACGTTTGCGTGGGGACAGCACTCGCCGACTGGTCACTGCACAGTGAGTATTGTGGAGCTGAAGTTGTTTTCCTTGGTAGCCAGCAGAGCAAGTGTGTTGTGGTGGTGGTGGTCGTTTTTACTTCTGTCCCATCTGAAGTGCCCTTTAGTTGGTTTCATTACTTAGTTCTGTGCAATTATTAAAGTCAGTGATAGTTTTTATAGTGATTCTTCCACAGAAGAGTTTTTCTCAAACCCAAGGACAGCGTGTTAACTAAGAGTATGAGAGTGACGGCCCCGCTGGCCCCTCGGAGGCTGTGCGTGTCCTAGCGAGGGCGGCAGCGGGGGCGCTCACGGGTGTGATTCCACGGAGAGAGCTGCACAGACTGGAAACCGTCGGGTTCCTAGCACTTTAAGACCCATGCGTCTCGCTGCTCCGACCTGATCCCTCTGGGCAGCTCCACAGAATACCGTGAAGTTGGAACTCAAAAGCTTTGACATTACTCTGATCACTCTTTCTTTTTTTTTTTTTTATCCTCACCCGAGGACACTTTTTCATTCTTTGTTCAGATAGAGCAGGAGGGAGAGAGAGAGAGAGAAACATCGATGTGAAGGGACACATCGAGTGGCTGCCACCGCACGACCAACCAGGGCCGGGGACAAACTGCAACCGAAGTACATGCCCTTAGCGGGAACCGAACCCGGGTCTCTCCGGACCGCAGGCCGACGCTCTAACCGCTGAGCCAAACCGGCCAGGGCTGATCACTGTTTCTTAAAAGGTGAACCTCAAATGTATGCTTCTACTTTATTATTTCTCCTCCATTTGGAATTATTACCTATTTGTGAGCTTGTGAGTTTCCCCAATGTTTTACCTTATTTTCCGATTAAGAAAGTTCCGCAGGCCCTGGCGGGTTTGGCTCAGTGGTTGGAGCATCAGCCTGCGGACCGGAGAGTCCCAGGTTCAGTTCCCGCTAGGGACATGTACCAAAAAAAAAAAGAAAGTTCCTCAGGTAATATCCACGCAGACATACAAAGCAGATAAATGTCTGTTGACGGCTTTGTTGCACAGATGTGACTTTCTAATTTGTGTATGGCTCACTTTTGCTACCATTGTTCTTCAGGCTTTTGATAGGCCTAGTTGATATGCATAATTAATGAAATTAGTATCCGTCTACATTAGGCTTGATCTACATAACTTTTAAGTCCAAGACACCGACTTCTGTTAGGTGTAGAACTAAAGCAACACATTGACTTCTGTAGGTGCGTTGTGCTAGGTCCGGGACGCCAGCAATGGGAGAGCAGTCATGTTCTCGAGGAGCCCGAGGCAGGGTCTGTAGGAAGGAAGCAGGGATGGGCGTGCGGGCGGGAGGAGATCTGCAAGGAGAGGGCGCTGTGCAGACCGGAGGGAGCCCGGAGGCAGGGTCTGTAGGCCCAGTGGACGGAAGCAGGGATGGACATGCGGGCGGGAGGAGCGCGGCGGGAGGAGATCTGCAAGGAGAGGAGCCCGGAGGCAGGGTCTGTAGGACGGAAGCAGGGATGGGCGTGCCAGCGGGAGGAGATCTGCAAGGAGAGGGCGCTGTGCAGACCAGAGGGAGCCCGGAGGCAGGGTCTGCCCAGCCTGGGTCCTGCTGCTCACAGTTGCAGGCGGGCACCGTGCCAGCCCAGCTTCCTTCCGGGCTGCCAGTCGCAGTGGGGCCGGGTGTGTTTTATTAGGCACGCAGGGTAGTCTAAATTGTATTTTGCCAACATTTCCAGATAGGAGTGTGTCACACGGACAGTCTGAGACGCCGTCTGGCAAGGCGGAGCCCGGGCCAGCAGGCTAGCACAGTGCGGGAGCGGTGGCTGCCCCCTGCAGGCAGGCTGTTCCCTCAGGTCCCCACAGGCCGTGCAGTTCTCCACCTTGTGTCTGTCCCCCTCCCTTCTTCATGCCACCTTCTTGGACCCTGTTGGCCTTGCAGTCTGAGATCCTGATTTAAATCAAGCCCGTTCCCGCTTACTGGACAGAGACCAGGCAGTTGGAAACTACCTTTTAAGGTTTGAGGTCAGTCCAGGCTTTGAGTCCCAGCTCTTCCATTCATTCTGCAACTAATGAAGGTCGTTTTACCTTCCGATCAGTGGTCTTATTTTTTTTTATACAAGAAAGTTTTACTTAACACATAACACTGAACAGGGTACAGCATCGCTGCCCAGCCCCCAGCCGCCGCTGCCCTTTCGCCAGCACAGAGAAGCCGCCGTGCTGCCGTCACTCACCCTTTGCTTCCACCGTTATTGAAAAGGGTTCTGGGAGTCAGAACAAATGATCTCTGTTGCCCAAAAGTCTGCAAGAGGTTCGCTGGTTTCTAGGTTTGCTGCTTAGCAACCTGCCCCCTGCCCCCTGCCCCCTGTCTGCCGCCAGGCGAGCGGCCGTGGGAGTGGCCGGCGGTGGGCGCGTGCGCGGGGCCCAGAGCGTTGGGGGTTGGGACGGCCCCTCCTGTTGGCTGAGGCGCGGTGGCCAGAGCGGGGCACCCTCCCGTGGCACAGACGAGCAGGGCATTTCTCTCGGGTCCACTGCGGCGACAGAGGTCCTGCTCGCTTCCCACGCTCCCCTTGTGAGGAGTGTTCCGTGTGTTGCCGTCAGATCTGCAGACCGGAACTCTCTTCAAAGGAAGGGACCTCCGCAGTCTCCTACCTCCTGAGCGTGACCAGCAGGGTTTCTTCATCTGGGTTTGGTTCAGCTCTTCGGAGGGCAGAGGCTTCGGCCATGCTGCTGCTGCAGCGCATCGGGCGAGTCTCCGGTCGGCGCCCCTTGCTTGGTGCCCACCGCCAGCGCTGGCCAGGGCATCTTTGTCTTCTTAACCAGGAGAGCTCAGGCTGTCATTCTCTGATATCCCTGGACTGCTTTCATGGCCAATAGAGGAATAGAGATTTCCTTCCAGAAACCTCTGACCCTTCAGCACCGTGTTGACGTGATCAGGCAGAAACGGCTTGAATGTCCTCCTGAGTACTGCCTTCCGGAGGGTCTCGTAGCCATCAAGTCTTCTCCAGTCTGTTCGCAGCGATACAGAGCTCTCTCAGTTTCTCCGACGTGTCTTCATCCTTGTTCTCTTAAATGTCTCATCGGATGTGAAGGACTGTAGGGGACAGTCATTAGACCATTCTGTCGGGCTCACGAGCAGGCCCTGACTTTCCACAGAGACTATCACACTTAATAATTTCATAGTTTTTATTGTTATTATTTTTTTTTACTGATGGCAACCCACTCCCAGGAAATGAAGAAAACAGTTCTTTCCTTTGCAGTTCTCCTCTGTTCGAAGAGGTGGGTTAGCTATTGCATGTTCTTCAGCTTCCAGCAGTGAGATTCCCTAGCTCCTCATTGAACACGGTCTCCCGTTTTCCAGAAGAATTATTTTCACGGTCACCTGTCCCAGTGAGATAGAATCTTCTGGTTCCCCTGACAGGTGACCCAGGTGGGAGATGGGTGTGGAGAGGTGCACGGAGGCGATGGTGTGTGCTGCAGGCCTGGGGTCAGGAGAGCCCTGGCGGTGTCCGCAGGACGTCGGCGTCCCTGCTCACTTCGTAGTCCTCCCGAGGTCGTCAGTGCGCCAGACACTGTCGTGGTGCCATGGAGCGCAGTGCAGGCCGTTCCGTGGTCCAGAGGCACGCGTGTTCCCTGTGCACCAGTCGCCTGGAGGTTTACTTCTGCCACAGCTGCGTGGAGCTGCAGCTGGTAGGTGCCTGGTAGGTGCAGGCTCGGGGAGAGTTTGTGACCTGGAAGGGCATCCGGCTGCCGTCTCACCCGCAGGATCCTAGCGTGAGAATGAGTAAAATAAAATGAGTATTCTAAACAGAAGGAGTTTTGCTAAAAAGATGATGAAAATAATCCAGGTTGGGTTTTTAA